TCGGATGGGTAGCTTCGTAGTCACCACGGTATTGACTAACGATCAACTAAGAATCTGAGCAGGCGTCAACTTTCCTTGCCCCTGCCGCCTTACACATGCGTATACCGGCTAGCAGGGCCTCATACTCCGCCTCATTATTTGAGGCTTGAAACTTGAACCGTAGTGCGTATTCATATTTGTCCCTTTCTGAAGACTTGTAAATTACGCCGCACCACAGCCGTTCATAGTAGAGTTCCCGTCTACATAAACCTTCCAAACCTGATTGACATTGTCCGGCTGAGCCGGCCTTGTCATTTCAATAATGAAGTTGGCGAACGCCTGACCCTTCACTTCTTTTCTTGGTTCGAAGGTGATTTCTAGACTTTGCATTTTGATAGCCCACTTGAGCATTCTGCCGGATGACTCCAAGGTTGTCATTGGCCGCTTGAGGGGTCGATCTGTGTAGATCACCACCGGATGTGCCAAGAAGCATGGCTTTAACTTCTTGACTGCCATGAACAGGGCGAGGCCAAATTTTTCAACCAAGGGGTACCGCAGCTCAGTATTTCGAAGAACATGGCTAATGAAATAGACCGAGAGCTAAATGTCGCCTCTCTCAGCTAGGAGAACGGCATTGAGGGCATGATCTGAGACGGCCAAGTACATATAGAGAACCTCTCCTGCGAGAGGGCTAACCAACCGTGGCAATGAGTGGAGGTGCTCCTTCAATTTCTGGAATGCCGCCTCAGCATTCTCCCCCCATTCAAATCTAGTCTTCTTCTTGATTTCCTGAAAGAAGTAGAGGCACTTGTTACCTGACCGGCTGAGGAATCTCCACAATGCCGCCAGACAACCGGTAAGTTTTTGGACTTCCTTGACAGTGCAAGATGACTTCATGTCAATTACCGCCTGTACCTTTTCCGGATTGGCCTCTATCCCCCTTTGATCAATCAAGAATCCGAGAAACTTCCCAGAATTAACACCAAAGACACACTTTTTGGGATTAAGCATGACCTTATGCCGCCTGAAGGTGTGAAGGTTTCTCGGAGGTCAACAAGGTGATCCATCTGGAGCTTAGATTTGACTATCATGTCATCAATGTACGCCTCTACATTCCTCCCAATTTGATTAACGAAGACCGTATTAATCATCCGTTGGAAGGTAGCAGGCGCATTCTTCAGCCCAAACGGCATCACTGTATAACAGAACAACCCTTGATCAGTGACGAATGTCGTCTTTTCTTGATCTTTTTTCCACAATGGTATCTGATGGAAACCTGAGTAGGCGTCCATGAAGCTCATCAAGGCATGACCGGCTGTAGAGTCGACCAGACTGTCGATCTTTGGAAGTGGATAGCTATCCTTCGGGCATGCCTTGTTCAGATCTGTGTAATCAACACACATCCGCCAGGTACCATTCGACTTTTTCACAAGAACAACTTTGGCTACCCATTTTGGGTAGTAGCATTACCAAATGAACCCAGCATCCAGTAGCTTCTTGACCTCGGTGGCTGCCGCCAGAAATCTTTCCTCGTTGTGGTTCCTTTTCTTTTACCTAACCGGCTTCTTTTTCGGATCCACGGCAAGTTTGTGGAAACAGCAAGATCCGAGCTGACGCCTGGCATCTCTTCCACTTCAAAGGCAAAAATGTCTTTGAATTCTTTTAATAGTTGGTGAAAATCTGCTCCCAACTTTGCAAAAGCAACCGACCCCACCTTTACGGTTCGTTCCGGACGGCTGTCATCTAGAACAATGTCAATATTTTCACCAGCCGGCTGGGGACGGAGATCATCTGATCGTTCCCCGATCAGTGATTGTTATTGCTTCTCTTTTTTTTACGGCCACCAGGTGGTCCGCCTTTCTCTTTTTGCCGGCTGCTTTGGGAGCAGGCGCGGCTTCCTTGTAGTCACCAAGGTCAATGGGTTCCTCACCTTGGCCGGCTGCGGCCACAGTAGGCTTGACGTCTGAGAGGTAACACTCCCTAGACGTCTTCTAATCCCCGTTCAGGGAACCCACTAACCCGTCATCCCTTTCAAATTTGATCAGCATGAGGGATGGGATGATGACTGCCTCGGACTCGTTGTTGAGGGTTGGACAGCCCAGAATCAGATTGTAGGCAGTCAATTCCTCGACCACCAAAAAACTTGACGACCATGTGTCGTCCTTCCCCCTTCTCTCCTAGCCGGATGGGTAGGTTAATCCTCCCCACCGGATGCACTACCCCTCCCCCAAAGCCAACTAAGGGGTGAGAAGCCTTGTGCATGCTGCTAGGCTTGTACTTGAGTTTTGCCAAGCACTGATAGCTGATAAGGTTAGACGATCTCCCGATATCAATAAGGATCCGGCCTACTCGTTGGTTGGCAACTTTGCATTCGATGACTATAGGGTCATCGTGAGGCCGCCTGACCTTGCCCCGATCCTTCTCAGAGATACGGACCTCAGGGAAGGTGTCTTTCGACGCCTAGCCCTCATCCACTGAGTTGACCAGCTTCCGGATGTTGTCCTTGGTACCCCGGATGGTAGGACCCCTTCCCGCGAAGCCGCCTGCTATGGTAAAGATTTGCTCTTCATCGGTGTCAGAGCTCACAGTCGGCTTCTTAGACGATTGTCCATTGTTTGTTTTGGGGTTCCCTTGGACTTCACCATATAGGACTTTAAAGCCCCCTCATCAGCCAAACGGTCCAACAGCCACCTAAGGTTATAGCAGCCATTGGTGTCATGGCCGATATCCTCATGGAATTGGTAGTACTTGCTCTTGTCCCAGCTGTTGATGGGACTCTTCATTGCATCCGGTTTTTCAAGGGTCAACCGGTCTTTGATCTCCATGAGGATGGAGGAGTAGTCCTTTTTGAACTCGTACTTGGGGACGTACGGCTTCACTTCTCTATTTTTGTTCTGGGACGGCTGACCAGAACGGTCCGTCGCCCATACTTCTTTTCTTTTCTTGCTCTCTTCTTTTTTAGTCGGCTGAGCAGACCGACTCTCTTTCCTGTCGGACCTCTTAGGTTCCGACGAGTGCTTGATGGCATAAAGCTCTGTTTCCTGTATGTAGGCTTCGGCTTCCATCAATGCCTCTTAGAGGGTAGCGCTCCTCTTGCGGACCAGGTCGAACTTAAAGGTTGACCCGTCCTTCAGACCCTTGAAGAAGTCTGTATAGGCAATTTCGTCAGACAGCCCTTGAATCTGAATTCTCATCAGATTGAACTGCCTGACATAGGACCTTAGTCCCTCCTTGTCTCCCTGCTGAATAGCCCCTAAGTCGAGACTTGTCTTTTTGGCAGGGATGTTCATGGAGAAGTTGGACGCAAATGGGTATGCAAGTGTCTTGAAGTTGTTGATGCATCCGGCTGGCAGATTGTCAAACCATCGTTGGGCTATGTCCTTCAATGTTGCCGGGAAGCATCGGCACCAGGCGGCATCATCCAACCCCTGTAAGTACATGAGGTTGGTGTAAGCCATTAGGTGGTCTTCCGAGTTGGTGGTACCGTCATAGGTATCGACCAACACATTCTTAACCTTGGCCGGCTGAGCCGCCTCGGTTATCTCCCTGGAGAACGCCGACGACTGTTCCCCAAGGTTTAGCAGCCGGAGCTGCCAGTCCATGGGCTGGACCTACTATGCCGCCGGACCTCTAAAGAGGGCCGGCTGCATGTATGGTGATCCATACGACATGTATGGTTGTTGGGGCACATACAGAGCCGACTGGATAATCTGAGGGCCAGTACGTGCGGACATACCGCGTGATTGACTATCTCGGTTTGTCTCCGAATACTTCATTGAAGTATTGCGGAAACTGTCTAGGTAAGTGGACGTTGAGGCCGACTCAGACATTTGTTGTCTTCTCTTCTCCTGGATGAACATCCGGGCGTCAGAGTAAGTCTTTTTTGACCCATCCGGCTGAACTTGCCGGATGACCTTCCTTTGCCCTGATTCAGGGAAACAAAGTCTGGATAAATCGACCAGGGACCCATATGCCCCCTTTGGTTTAGGGTGAGGAGTAGGCACCTGATCTTTGATGTGCTTCTTCCCGGAGGGAGAAGGCTTCTTGGCCGACTGACCCTTGTTGGAGCCAGTTGACTTCTTTATTATGTCCTTGATTTCCCCTTTGAAACTTGTCGTGAATTTCATGAGCTCGTCTCTGGTGACAGGGGCAGTACCCTCCGCAGCCTGGGGTTTCCCAGCCGCCTTGTCGGCTGGGTTGCTGGGACCAGCTTTGTCTTCGCCCCGTTCCCTTGTTTCTTTAGAACGGGTGCGCCTAATTCGGAATGACCCATCTGGGGCCACATAAGTGTCGACCTCAAAGTCGTCACCACTATCCTGGTCCGTATGGACCTCAGGCTTGGCCGTAGGCCGCTTGCCCTCACCAGGCAGTACAGAACCGGATGCCATCTCGGAAGTACTCTCCCCACAGACGGCGCCAAATGTTTCGGGGTTTTTGGAGTCCCTCGGGAGAGTTACAATTCTGGGAATGCGCGTCGACCGTCTGTACCTGCAAAACCATGAAACTCCGGTTGGGTGGAGTTCCGCCTCCGACGATCAAATTAGAACGTTTCCGGATGTACTAAAGTGCGGAATGTAAAGATTTTTCTCTCTGATTCAGAGAGAATTCTGCAATTAATATTGCTCGGTTTTTGTGTTTGTATTTATGAATGTGTAATAAATGAGGATTTTCCTCTATTTATAGTGAAAGAGGATCAGTTCCCCTTTTAGGGTTACGATGACACGTGTCAACAGAGGATTGGATCCCATTGGGCCACTCTGAGGCTGACACGTGTTAGTATGCAATTAGGCCACGTGCCATAGGGTAATTTTACCCTAAACACCTTGCAATGAAATAATCATGTCCAATGTCTGTGAGGATCAGGCCTCCTTTGAGTTCCCACTTCTTCTTTAGCCGTTTGAACAGAGCCATGTAGCCAATCTTGCTATTAAACATTTTGATTATAATTATATGTTTCTATGGTTGTCTGATTCTGCGCTTCTCTTCCTTGGACAAAAGTATGACTGGACACTTTGGATCATCCACTATATCATTTGGTGGTTCATCATCATCAGAGATATCATCTTCATTCATATCAAAATGTTGTACCCTATCATTCTCCATGCGCACTTCATTGGTTACCATATCTCTAAAAGATGTGGTGTTCACATCAGGTTGAGTTTGAAGTTGGATTTGTGAAGCATTAGATGACATAGGGGGTTCATTGGGGAATAAAAGGTGATTAATTTTCCTTTTAGGTTTCTTTGAAGATTGATCAATTTGGTCTTGTTTTTCAGGGGAGGCTTCCTGGTTCAGAGAGTTATATTTCATCGAGAGAGTTTTCTGTGTAAGACTATTGGGGAGAGTAAAATTGTTAAGTTGAGGTAAAATTAATTATTTATATAACTAGAATAAATATGTAATTTCAGTTTATTTTGCGGGCGTTAATGGGAGATTTGAGTACGATGTTTAGCTTTCTGCACAAAGAGCTACTCAATATTATTTTTGATAATTTTTTTTGAAAAAAAAAAAATAAAATAAGCCGTCGTTGGTTTTCCTTGTATGTTCTCTCCTTACAACTGATCTGAGCTTCCTTACCTCACACACTTCCTTTCTTTCTCTCACTTATTCTACCGACAGATCTCCGAAATTCAATCACCCATTTACCTCCAATATTTGAAGATTTAAGTTGAAATTCTGCTGAAAATTTTGCAGAATTTTGAGCATTATATTATGCTTTGTTATCATATAAGCAAGGGATTTCAGTACAATCTACTGTGAAGTTGATAAAATTGTTGAAACTGAGTATAATTCGTTGTTTTTCTTCAATTAATCAATGGCTTCTTCTTCCGATACTACTGACCCAGATAAGGGTATGTCTGCTGATAACATCAAGGGTTTAGTTATGGCGTTGTCATCTAGTTTCTTCATTGGTGCTAGTTTCATTGTTAAAAAGAAAGGCTTGAAGAAAGCTGGTGCTTCTGGTGTTAGGGCAGGTACATATCTTAATTTTGATTTACTTTAATTTAGTTGATTTTCTAGTTGATTAACTAAAATGGTTTGATTGAATTAGTTCAACTGTTTGTGATTTACGTTAATTTAGTGAAGATTTAGTTGATTTTCTAGTTGAATATCTATAATGGGTTTGACTGAATAAGTTCAACTGTTTGTCATTTATTCTAGTTTTTGTTTGATGATTTTGTTGAAATGGCATGGATTTGTGTTTGTTTAGTGGAATTTTGAATATTTGAGTTTCTTCATTTTCTTGGATTTGCCACTGTTTGATTGCTTGTTTTTGTCGTTACTTCTACAATTTGTCTGATGTAAATTATAATATGTGTTTTGATGTTTCGATCAGATTTCGGTATCTGCTTATTAGATCACTACCTAATGTATGGTGTGGGACTGGAGACTGTTTACCAATATGATTGGAGTATGTTGGCATTGCTTTTTTTTTTGGTTGATTTTTTTATGCATCTAAGTTGGTATGTGCTCTTGCATTTGCTTCAATATGTGTTGAAGCTTATAATGCGGGCATAGCTGTTATGAATTTCGCAAACTCCGACTTTGTGCTAAGTACTACTAGATAATGCGGTGGCTGGAGTAAGTGGGAATAGAACAGTTGATTGATTTTATGTACGAGCCAGGTTTATCCAGCGACTATTCTCTAGGAAAAGTTTTATATTTTAAGGTAGTAATTTGTGTTCCTGCAATGTTGACAGTAGACAGTAGAGTTAAAGAAGTAATCGTATTTAGTAATGTTCAGTTATTTGAGGTTGTAGCTTGTGATCTTGTGGCTGATTACACAGGTAGTTATAGTCAATGATGATTTAACAAGTATTCAGCAGCTGGAGTGAATCTTATGAGTGTTAAGATACATTAATGAAATCGTCAGTTCTGATCCGTGTTGCACATTTTTGTAGAAGAACAACTTTTAGTATATATGTGCTTGGAGAAAATCTGGCAGATTGTAATTTTTCCAGCCAGGGGACGGATTGAATCGGAGCCCGCTCCTACCCACCACGGGGCACCATAGCATGTCGTGATTGAAAATCATTTGCTAAGGAACAACCTACTTTAAGTTTACATCATATTTTTAAACAAACTTTAAGCAAATACTGTTTGTTATCCTTTGTTGTTCAGTTTTTTTTTTGAAAAATAAATCAAGAATGTGAAAACCTGAAAAAGGTAGTTTCGAGTTTTTAATATGAACATGGTTAGTACTCCAGGCGATTCTTTTTAATGTTCCTATTTAGAATCTGGCAACAATTCGTAATTTAATGTAACCTTCTATAATATTCCCAATATATATAAAAAAAAATCAGTATTGTGGGGTCCTGTTGGTCTCAATGATTGCTTTAAGAATGTCAAATTTACATAATTTTTACAATAATTAAAGTTATTAATTATTGAAGATATGCATGAAAAATGTGCATAGTTAAACTAGGTAATTAAAAGACACGAAAGGAGTGTTAAGTACAACTAATTTTAGCTCGTCATACTTCCTCCATGGTTCCATCACACTATAATTGCTTTATTTAATTAAAAAAAGTTGTCACTAAAACATAGTCAAATGGGGCAATCTTAGTGGGATAGAGGGTGTGCAACTTATATCATGTCTCTTAAAATCTTGAAACCAAACACTATAAACTCGCAGTAATACTGATTAGGCCTTTAGTCTTTATGTGTTTAGAAAGTTTAATTTTGGTAACCATCTTTTCTTTTTAATAGTATGTATCTGCCTTAGTAAGCATAATATTAGCCTTTTCATATTTTTTTTATATTAATATTTCTATCAAGTATATCCTTTCTCATACAAATAAGTCCTTATGCTTGGATAGATCTAAATTTTTTAGCGTTGTTCAAACACTTTGTATATGTTGTCATTGTCATATAGATGTTAACCATAGCACATTGGATTGATCGAGTAGGTTGAAATTTGGACCTTTAAATTGGACTCTTTGGATTTTAAGCATCAAAAGCTGCGTGTATTTTGTTTTTGGTAGAGGAAAATTTTGTTGGCTATGTTTTTATAGTAATTATGGACTTATGGTTGGTTACATTTTATTCCTGCAGTGATTGTTTGGATTAGCTCTTAAAGCATATTGGTTTTTCTTTATTTATTTCATTTAATAATCAGTTTTGGCTGCATTTGGCAGGAGTTGGAGGCTATTCTTATCTATATGAGCCATTGTGGTGGATAGGCATGATTACAAGTAAGTAAATTGATTGGGAGAATAAAAAAATTTATGTATGGATATAATTACTTGATAATTATCAAATTATGTATTTTGGATAATTATAAGGGTTGTATTTCCTGTGATTTTATGCTCAGATAAACTTTCTTTTTTGGTTATTAGCACTACATAGCAAGAAGACTGATAAATTTTCGGCTGTCTTATCTTGTGCTCATGCCTTTACACATAGTAGATTTATAGTATACTTTTTCTTTGCCGGTAAAAAGGTTAAGCTTGAATCATGTGTGCTAAGATTCTTCTGTGTGAAACAAACTCCCTAACCTAATCTAATAAGGTGCTATTATAGCATCTTCACAGAGCCAATATAAAGCGTGATAGTTCCTTGGATATTCAATGTGCCTAAGGGAACTTAGTTATTAACTTTTGACTGTGTTGGTTGTTCATGGTTAAAGAAATTCATTTTTGCCATCATTGGCTGTTGATGGATAAGTATTCAACTATTCATAGTCTATTACAATTTTTTGCCCCAAGTATTCCAGCGATGGTTCAGCAAATTTTATCACAGGGTGGAGAAAAAGAGCATTCATCTTTTTGTTGGATTATTGTAAGATGCTTTATTCAGATGCAGTTGCAGCATGCTCCTCAAAGCTTATGGGGATGGCTGCTATTAGCCTCCAAATCTTGATGCAATTTAAGGGACTGTTGCACAAAGATTACTTCTGCTTTAATGCCTGGATAAACTCTCATCAAAGTGCAGTTAACCTGAGGCACTGCTAAGAATCCATTTTACTGTAAATGAGGAAACATGTTCAATAGCTCTAAGCGAAATATGTCTTCCAATCAAGCTCAGATTTAATTTGTTTGTTTATGTAGAATCATTTGAGTAATTGTTTATATAGATGTCCAATGGAACTTGTTACCACACGGGCATACAAAACTTCCGTCAGACTAAGCTTGTACAAGTTCAGGCCGAACAATCTTAAGCTAACTTATTTCTGCAATTAAGGCCAAATTCTTATAATGTGTTATATCAACCTGAGATTTACAGTTAAATTCCCATCGAGTATTCATAATATCATATTGTTATTAATTGTAGTTAACTTGTCATCAATCAAGTTGATTAATGATGCATGACATTGAAATGGAGGAAGTATTAGTATATAAAATGGTCAAAGTTAAGTATGTATAATGAAAAAGTCTAAGTGTTGAAAATAAAGACATTGAGGAAGCTTTAGTTTAAGTACAATTTGATTCGCGATGCCAATTCTACACATATTAGGACTTTTTTAGAATTTCTCCCAACAGGATACTCCTTGCATTCTAGCATTGCAGTCGAATCTGTAGGATTAATTTTTTTTGAAAACATTTTTATTATAAATATTGGTTTTGATTTCATGTTTCCCTTCTGCATTATCAATATGTGCAGATTTTGACGGATATGTGCTCTTGTTGTAGTGATTGTCGGAGAAATTGCTAACTTTGCAGCATACGCATTTGCGCCAGCTATTTTGGTCACTCCTCTTGGAGCACTGAGTATAATCATCAGGTATGTTGGCGTATAGTTTATTTTGCATGTTTCTATTTAGACTCAAGGTGTATTATATTAAAATGTGGATGGCCTTGTTTTGACTGCTAACCTATATGCTGGTGCAGTGCTGTTCTTGCACATGTAATTTTAAAGGAGAAGTTACATATTTTTGGAATGCTTGGTTGTGTTTTATGTGTTGTTGGTTCAACTACGATCGTTCTTCATGCTCCTCCAGAACGTGAGATTGATTCTGTTATAGAAGTATGGAACCTAGCTACAGAACCTGGTATATTGGCTTGCTTGTTTCACTGACCTGGATAATTTTCATACTGAAAGATTCTGTGCTAATGAGCTTGATGGGACATGCTTTGGTCCTGCAGGTTTTCTCTTTTATGCTGCTCTAATTATGACTACTGTGTTTGTGCTCATATTCCACGTCATTCCAGAGTATGGGCAGACACATATTATGGTTTATATTGGAGTTTGCTCATTGGTGGGCTCTCTATCGGTATGTCAGTAGTGTATAATTTATTTGAAGAAGCAATATATTCTGGAGGAAATTCTCTGAAATAGTCCAATTACAGGTCATGAGTGTGAAAGCACTTGGAATTGCTTTGAAGTTGACACTATCTGGAATGAATCAACTAATATATCCTCAAACATGGGCCTTCAGTATAATTGTTGCTGGTTGTGTAATCACCCAAATGAATTATTTGAATAAGGTAACAACATGTAAATGCTTTGCCATTCTATCTGTCTTCCTTTCTTCTTCTCTTAACTGTGTTCTCTTTTCCTGTATCCCTTTCCTCTTTAAACCTCCTTTTTGAACCCTCAAAAGTGACTTAAATATCAGGCACCTCCTTGTTTAATTGTTCTTTTGTTACTATCGATTCAATTTGGAACTTTAAATTTATATGTAGGCTAGATCACTTCATCATTCTCATACCCAATCCTTTGAAGCAATTTTCAATAAGTGTATATTTGATGTGAAAAATTTAGAGGTGTTGTAAGTTGTAACCATTGCAACTAGAAAATCACAAAATCATGTCCTATTGGAAAAAAACCTTCTTTAGATAACCTCTATCATAACTAAGATCTGACTTCTAATTTTTTAGATCATTCAATAAGTTATAACCCCTTGAGTTGACCTGCTACTTGGGTTTTGGACTCTCTCATTGGGTAGCTAAGATTGAATCCCGTCTTTTGTAGGTCCCTAGCACAGTTATCAGCCTTCTTAATTCTGTGGGTGGCACCTCCAATCCTAGACTGTGAAGGGTTTATGGAGTCATCGGCTATCTCCAGTAGTGACAAAATAATCTAGTTTTTTCTTGATCTTCATCTCTATTGAAGCCCACACCTGAGGAATTGGTTATCTTGTAAGTCCACTGATTGGTATCTGAGATTTCTCCATAGCCTTTTATCTTTCAATTAAAAAATGTCGATTTTGATATTTTCAAATATGGCTGTGAAGAAAAAACTGCCACAATTCATTATCTGAACTCTCATATTATGAGCATCCATAATTCTCGCTGCAAGAATCGGACCCTTGAACGTCCTTATCATCGTTATAATAAGATTTGTTTGAACCTCCTTATCATTGTTATAAATGAAAAAGTTCTTGCTTAAATATGGTCTCCTCTGCTGTAAAGGTAACATTACTCCTTTGTAATAGAACTCCGCGAACTAGTGGAGAGTGTATACTTGAAGACTGGCCACTTCCCACTCACTTTCTCAACACCAATGATACCATCATTATCCCAAAGCTGGCACAGCATGTAGACAAGGACTGTCTGTCTATCCTATATCCTAATTTACAGAATTGCCCAGTTGACCTTGTAGTTGAATCTTGAGGAACAACTTAACAACCAGATTCTACCAACCTACCAATGTCAAAACAGAAATTAATGGAAATACTGCCTCATCAGATTTCTGACTAAAAATCCTGGAATTCAGTATGTAGTCACTCCACCAGCAACAAACCAATCCATCTTATATACAACATGGTTAAACAAACCAATCCATCTTGCTGCGGCTGACTTTTACTGAACTGAAATTATTTTTACTTATCAAATTGATTTTCTAACATCAAATTACTGATTTCAGTTTTTAGTGTTTCCAAATAATTTAGAGAGGTGGGACACAAGATGAGACACAAACTAGACATGATCCGGCTAAAAGAGACATTTTTATCCTCAACCTCATTGTGTGTCCGTTTTGGCCCTTAATCTATAATTCTGCGACATTATTTACTTTCCCAATAATGTCAAACATTTGTGAGACCAAATTTGAAAGTTGGCAAATAATATCAAGCAATTTAAATCATACTCCCTCCGTTCCTTTTTGTTTCTCCCATTTGCCTTTTTGCATAGTTTCCAATGCACTTGTTTAAGCATGTATATCTTCAACTATGCATCATAAAATATTATATAAAGTTGATGTTTGAAACTACACATCAAGATGAATCTAGCAAGATCTCACGTGATTATGTTTTTTCATATACTCCCTCTGTGTTTAAATAAATGCGACGTTTTGACTTTTTGCACTATTCATCTAATTTACTTTGGCTAATGTGTGTAATTTATACATAGTGCACTTGCTAGAATCGTCTCAATGAATAGTTTATTTATAATTTTTACTTACTGGTAATTAAAGATATTATTGGTCAAAGTTTTGCATTGGCATACGTGCACAAGAGAAATGTTTCACTTATTTAAACATTTGTCAAAGATTTTTCATAATTAAATTGTCTTTCCTCAAATTGAAGATTCCAAATGGGACAAACAAAAAGGATTGAGGAAAGTATGATCTATAATGGGGTTGAGCCATTGAGGAGAACTATCTACTAGAAATATAGATGGGCCTAAGGAGAAGGAGTGTAGAGTTATCAAAGAACAGTGAAGGTTTGGAAGACCTTTTTCTTTTATATCTATTAAAATATTTTAGTGCTTTAAGAGTTTTATTTTCATTTCTCCTTTAGTTGAAATTATCTTCATTTCTCCTTTAGTTGAAATTATCTTCATTTCTCCTTTAGTTGAAATTGTACAATTTTTTATTTTTTTTTTATCAATTTCTGTATGAAATTGATGCCTCTGATACTTTCCTGTAGCTATCTTTTTCTGGAGCTAGTGTTTGGCTTCTGTGTGAATTAAGTATTGTTTTGTAAGTTTAACTAATAACAACTTGCTCAGCTGCTTTTAGTTCTCTAATCTAATGTTGATTTATTTTCTTTTTTTTTTTTTTGGGTAAACCATGCAGGCTCTAGACACGTTCAACACAGCTGTTGTATCTCCAATATATTATGTCATGTTTACATCCTTTACTATATTGGCTAGTGTGATCATGTTTAAGGTATTACTTAAGCTTGTTATCTTCTGAATATAACCATATATATTTTAGCAATAATTTAAAATTTATCTATTGTTAGTGAATCAGCCATATGTTCTGTAACTTCATCTGTTAAATTTTAATGGTCCCAACTATATATCTGGGCCTCAACTTTAATCTATGCATTGAAAGTCTAACAACAGTTTCTCCATTACATATCAATCAATCTCATTATGCAAGATAGAATTATGAAGAATTAGCATATCCTCCTGCTGAAGTTTCTTATGATCTCGTAGAAATATCCGAACATTCAATACACATTTGGTTGGCTATTTTGTTTTGAATTTTGTGTTCAATTCACTTTCAGGACTGGGACAGACAGAATCCAACTCAAATAGTGACTGAAATGTGTGGTTTTGTCACTATCCTCTCAGGGACCTTTCTTCTTCATAAAACAAAGGATCTGACTGATGGTATGCCTCTCTCCAATTCTGTTTGAAAATCTTATTATAAATTCCTAAGCCCTATTTGTTTTGTTCTTGTGTTACCTCTGTCACGTATTCTTTTATGTAAATTTCTTAGTATCTCTCTTATTGACCCATTTTCATTCCGGGCCTGAAAATTCTAATCACAACTTCATAGTCACTGGAAAAATATTAGAGTTTCCATGACATTTTGCAATTTTGTTCATTGTATTTGCTTGGACCTTGATGTGTATAGGAAGAACTATATAGGCGTCACTTGCTCTAAATTAAAATTTGTGAATATTTAAGCGTGTAACACTTGTAAATTAGTAAATGAGCCAAAAGTCCATATTACTAGGATTTGTTTAAATGCCTTTGGCTTGAGCAGAGGTTAACATGCAAATTAAGAATGCTTGGGCAAACAAAATTCAATGGCCAAAACAGAAAAATAGTGTATACTAGCTTAAGTCCCGTGCCACGCACGGTTTTAATTAAATTCTAGAGTAAGTAAATTATTAATAATAATGTTAATTCAACAATAATTTACCAAATCATTATCTTCAAAAAAAGCTTGAATTTTGATTATACCAATGAAACATTGGATTGTATAAAAAAATGATAATAGAAATTAGAAAATATAAAGTTCTATATACGAAAACAAAAATATTTTAGTATCCATATACGTACTCACATATATACATTTGTCTCTATTTTGCTGGCACACTTTGACCGGCATAATATGAAAATTTAGATTATTTTATTTTTACTTTAGATTGAGTTTTCCAATATATATTATATAACAAAAAATTTTTGTTCACATAAACGTTGTGTATAATTTTAAGATTTATACGAAGTATGCTAACAAAATGAATTTTCTTTTTTGATTAAAATAAATTTTATTGTCAAATCTTAAAAGTTAGAGAAAAAAATGATAATGTTATAATAAACTTGGATAAAAATATTATTCTAGTACCTTTTTTTTAAAACTTTATTAGTATGTTTTGTAACTAAAAGTTTCCTAATTTGTATAGAAGATATGTAAAAAAAAGTTTAGTATATTTGGATTAAATATGTTGTCAAAATGAAAATCTGCTGAGTATATATGGATTATATATGTTGTCAAAATGGAAATTAATATTATTGTGGGTTATAAATTAATGTCATTAAAATTTGGCCAAAAAAAAAAAAAACGGAAAGAAGAAAAAGGAGAGAAAATTTCTGGTTTCGCCTTTAGTATTTAGTTATTATTGGTATAATAATATATATCTATAGTTATAGGTTTATGTGTTAAAATCAATTTGATGCAATATAGCGTAATTTTTTTTTTTTTTAATTTACTATAAATTAAATCCATGTGATTGTAATATATCATAAAAATATCACAAATAATATTAATATCAGTAATAAGAATCTTTAATTTAATTTCTATTATAATATATAAACTAAATATATACATAGTATAATTTTATTGTCTTAAATAAGTTGTCAATAAAAAAGATATAAAAAGAAATATAAAGTTAGCATATCTTTTTTTTTTTTGGAAAATGTTTTTTGGAGGGAAAAAAAGACACCAGGAAGTGACATGTGTCATTCCCGGTGTCTGTTTTAGTATTATGTTATTGATTGATTGATTACAAGGGCTTATATGACATGGTTATGTTGCATGAGTGAATGTGACTCTTGATGTATGTAAAACACTTCTCTTTGAAAGGAGTTAAAATATTCAAGCAAGTCTTGTCTCCCAAGTAAACTTGCTTTTACCTGTGGGACAAAAATGTTGATGAACAATACCAAAGACAAAGAACTTATCTACCCCACTTGCCTGATTCCTGGACTTGCCTGAACTGCTTTTCCTTTGCTATTTAAGTAAGAAATAGCAGCAGTTAACATCTCAGAGAAAACAGAACTTTGCTCCAAATTTATTAAAGTTATGCTGATGCTTGCTGTACTAAGTGAAACCCCACATAGTCACCTTGGCTAGGATTACCTTAGGGATTCCCTTCATCAAAGGCCTTGCCCTAAGTAAAAGTCTGTGAATATAAGCCTAAAAACCTATCTCAAAGTTTTGGACTCAACCCATAATTCTTAATTGAAGGATTTAATTTAATGCCTTTTATTATATGGTGCTTGGACTTGGAAGTTGTGTTAGCCTTGAAAATTTGAACTCAGATACAAGAATTTTGTCAGGTAAAGCTATGGAAACAGAGTTTGGAATGCCTTAAGTTACAATATGGGTATGGTATGAATATGGACATGGAGTAATGGACTTAGATTCTTTCCTCTGTTGTGTATATACATGTAAGTTTGAAGGTATTAAATTTTCCTTTTGGCTAAATCGAGTGTCCTAAATCCTAATGTCCATACCTATTAGTACAACTGTACAAGGATACCTTAGTTAAAATGAAGGGTCCGAAAATCATAGCCTTAAATGGAACAAAGATCCATTATTCAATTGCATAGGCTAACAAAAATGTCAATTGCCAAACTATAAATAGTGCGATTATTTTGCCTTGTATTCAGCCTTATTTTGTCACCTTAGTATTACAAAGACTTATTTTAGTCAACAACAAAAAATTTTGTATGACTGCTGGACAAAAACACTAGTTGATGATACAAAACAAATGAAACAGGCCCAAAATTACATTATATCTTATCTAATTACATGGACTGGATACACCTGAACACTTCTGTACTAAATAGCTGATGCCTACATCTTGCAACAAACACAATACTGGTATTTGTATTAAATTAAAGTATATGTGCTGTTTCAAATTGAAACACCATACTTCATTCCAATAAGGACTAGCTGTTGCAGACATGCAATAGAATTACTTGAAATCAAAATGCTTCTCTCAATCTTTGATTATGGTGTCCACATCAATGTATAAAAAGGCTCAAGGAGCACCATGGCGATATGTAATAGACAAACCAGAGGGGCAATATGGGTAGTCTAGTATTAGTACTTTACTAGGTTAATCGCCCTTAGTATAAATAGAGAGGGAGGGAAAAGAAAAGGAAAATTTAACGAGAATAATCCAACCTTTGTCTCATTCTCTCAAAATAATCCAACCTTTTGATTAACCCTGAATAATCCTAAGTTTACTACTTATTTTCTTATACCGAGCCTATTTGACCGGTTACTTGAACTTCAGGTAACTTTTTTTTTTTATTTTTTTATTTTCCTTAATTTTCCCCTCCTTCCTTCTCCCCTCTTCAAGCTTCCTGCCATTAACAATGGCTCCTTCACCTCTCTCAACCTTGCAGCCACTGTGCACCACCTCACCTCACCGTCAGCCTAACTCATTTTCCCATCAACCAGCCCGCCCCACTACCCCATCCTCTACCTGTCAACCAGCCCACAACTTAGCCACCCCCTCGCAATCAACCCGCAACTTAGCCACCACCACCTCCGCCACCACTTACCCCACCCAAACCCAAACCCATACTCGAAACCCTTCTCCTACTCCTACACAGACTCTAAACCATCAATCCCACCTTGCCGAAACCACCCATACCCGGAAACCACCATCCCACTTCCACCCATACCCGAATTCCAACCCCACCTACCCACAACCCGAAACCCCAACCCTTTCCATTTTCCTTCTCTTCTCTCTCTCAATTGAATTTGGGGTTGAATTGGGGGTGGCCATACGACGTTGATGTTGTGGGTGTTGTTTTCGGTTGTGTTGTGGGTGGTTGTTTGCGGTTATGTTGTGGGTTGATCGTGGATGTTGTGTTGAGTGGTGATGTCAGTGGTGTTGAGGTGGTTATAGGTGGTGGTGATTGTGGTGGTCTCGTGGATGGTATGTTGAGTGGTGTTGGTGGGTGATAATGGAGGAAGGGAGAGGAGAGAGAAACAAACAGGAAGGGGAAGGGGAAAAAGATAGAATTTATTTATTTATTTTATTATTTTCAGAATTACTTTTTTCTTAAATCAAAAATAAAAAAAATTTGGCCAATAAGGAAGTGCCACGTGGATGGTAACCAGTAGTAAAGGGTTAGGTGACCTGCTAGGGTTGGTGGGAGAAAATAAATAGTAAACTTAGGATTATTGAGGGTTAATCAAAAGGTTGGATTATTTTGAGAGAACGAGGCAAAAGTTGGATTATTGTTGTTAAATTTTCCAAAAGAAAATGAGAGACAGATTTTGGGAGTGAATCCTTGAGAGTTATGGTCTAAAGTCACTATTTTGAGAGTTGTGACCTAAAGTCACTAGAAGGAGAGTAGTGAGCAACTCACTGTTTTGTGTAGACTTTTAAGCATTTAGTTAAAGATTCAATCTTTTCTTCCCCAAACATTGTTATTTGTTTACTGTTTTGTGTTCATTGTTGCTTGATTAATCCGAGTCTATTCAGTCTATTACACAATAGGAATTTCCCTGCGCCTTAGGCATGCCTTAATGTGGGTGCTTAATATAAAGTGAAAAAATTCTGGAAAAAGTAGTTGTGCACCTCGCTGTTCCTGCTCCCCACCACAATTACCTCACCTAGACCAAAAACAGTACATAACCCGTATCTCCTTGCACCACAATTAGCCATTTTATGCACTGGTCCTCACAAATCAAGTTTCAAGGCTTAACTTGGCACAAAGTTCAACTCCAGGTGAAAGACAACATATTTTATTGATTGACAAGATTGTGTATAATCATTTATAATATACAAGCCCATTATCAAATCAAATGCCCATGAATAATTCAAATTCTAGTGAATAATTGTTTGTAGCATGCCGAAATGACTAATTATTTCCATACAAACTTACAAAATTGGCTATAACCCATACCTCGTACACTGCATTTAAGTTAACTTCAAATATATGCTCTCTCTGATCTTTTTTTTTTTTTAATTGCACCGTTTGGAGTTTCACGCTTACTAATGCACAACATATACCATGTATATATTAATACAATAAAAATAAAATAAGATAAATAAATGGGTTTCTATAATTGGGTATGACAAATAATACGGAAGTATATTTCTTTTCATTACTAAAATTTAAGATCTGTGTTTTCCATTCTTTAACTTTCAAATTTTGGATACCTATCATCAGATTTTATTTTATTTGATTTATTTATTCATTTATTGGCGAATAACATCATTAGACCTTTTGTCATATTGCATATCCGTCTCCAAGAGGTGTGTTTTTCTTTCCATTTTTCCCTCAATAAATGAGCTGTTAATATGTGTGTCAATACCTAATTTGGAAATTTCCTTTTCAAATGATGTCCTTAGAACATTTTATCAAACTCTCTTCCGTGTGCAATGTAAGGTCACGACATGTTATATTTTAGAATCGAGAGCATTGCACGTTTTTTGAACATGATCATTCTTCATTCATATGCAATGTAAGATCATGATCTGTTTACCTTTCTGACTGGTGAGTACACTGCAGGTGTAACCAATTCTTTGCCCGTTAAACTGAGCAAGCACGCTGAGGAAAATGGATTTGAAGACTCTGAGGGTATACCCCTTAGGCGGCAGGATGCAATGAGATCACCATGATATACTGAATTGTTTCCAGAAATGATGCACTTTTTTGGGGAGGCAAGATGACACCACCCTGCACATGTTTGAAGTCTCCGGTTTCCCCACAAAGTTTGGGGAAGCGTAGTTGGAGGAAGGGAAAAAGAAAAAAAAAGGTGTTCTTCCCTGTTCATAAGATGGAAGAGTTCTAGCTGCCGTCTAACATCCCTTTGCCCATTCTTTCTATTGCCTGGAACCCCCCCACCTCCCTCTTTCCTCCACTGTAGTTTTTGTGTTCATATGATCATTATTTTTCTAAACTGGCAAGTGTCCTTCCACATGCAAAGTGTAACAAAAATTAGCTGAGGAAAAGACAACAGTGGAAATTCTAAATGAGATGCCGCCATTAATGGTCAATTCATTGTAGTGAATTGCCGCCAATTCTGTAGATTGTGTCCCGATTTACGAAGCTTAGCATCTGTGTATATTTTCTTGTTGAAGCTATAGTTTGTTTTCATTGTCAATTTGTTGAAATTGCCTGGAATTTTGCAAGTATGACAGCACCAAAAGGCATCCTAGATTGCTTTCCACGAGTTTGCAAATGTATTTTTGGACTATAATTGCCATTGAAAATGATTAAAAATGGTTTTGTTCTTCGACAAGTTTTAGTTTGACATATTTTCAACTGGTATTTTACCAAATATCCCTGAGTTTTAATGCTAGTTACTAAATTACCTACAAAAAATTTCAAATTGACCATATACCATACATTTATTAACATAGAAAACTCTCAACCATTAACATAGAAAACTCTCATAATATTGTATCAGTTATCACCATTGTTAGATCAATTACAAATTTGATTATTGCTTAAATAATGAACATACAAAGTGAGTATGTGGGTTAGAAATGTTGCCACGAAAATAACATCTAAAAAAAAACAGATTTAGTAATAGTAGAATACATGATTAATGTCTTTAGATAGCTATTGCTTTTGTGTAGTTAAGTCAACAAAATATGCTGCATTATATAAGAAGAAAGGTTTGAATAATGCATATGCTTCATATATCAATTAAGAAGAGGATATAATAAGCTAGCAAATTATCATGTCATTTCTCTGTAAAAGTTAGGCAACGAACTATTCAATATTACATTCTTCTGTAAATGTTAGGTGGCAAGTGGTGTACTCCCTCCATTATAAAATATTTGCTCAATTTCTCCATGTGCGGAGTTATAGGAGAAAATTATAAAATATGGAGATAGTGGGGTTGGTGGAAGAATACAAAAATTGTAAAATGCAAAAGTAGTTGAGAGATTTGGAGGATAGAGAATATGAAATTAATAAAATATGATTTATGTTGGGTCCACTAGTAGAGAGAAATAAATTAAATATTGTAAAAGATTTCTAAATAAAGAAATGGAGTAAGTATTTAAAACGACCGGATATAAATAGTGGAGTAATTATTTAAAAACGGAGTGTATTTTTCAATTTTATTGAAAAAAAAAATCATCATAGGCTGTTAGCTAAAATATATTGAGAGAGATTTGTAAAAATGTGGTAAATCTTTTAATATAAGAAATAATGAAAACTTTATTATTTTCCAAATCATAAGTTAGGCTTGCCCTTTTTAAACTTGTAGATATTTCACATTATCAGATTCATTAGGAACTATTTCACATTATCAGATTCATTAGGAACTAGTGAGTAGCCAAGGGCGTTGCCCCAGGTTGCTACTTTTGTAATCGTACAATTAGAGTTTTTTTTTTTTTTTCTTAGGATTTTAAAATTTGAATCGTCATTATTGAATAAGTGTTTTTTTTTTAATAATTAAATCATGTTGTTTACACTTATGTACATTCCTTTTTTATATTTATAACATGCTTGATAATAGGTTAAGATGGTTAAATACCAAACTTTGTTATAAGTGGTTGGGTGTTCAAATTCCCTTAACCTTGGCACATGGACATTTTTATAAACGCCTTTTAATATATTAGTATTTTTTAAAATAAATATTTTTTTGTATTTATGTGATAAAAATTTTTGTTTATCTGTATTTTTTAAAATAAATATTTTTTGTATTTTGTGATAAAATTTGTTATTTTATTTGTTGTACGTAATCATATAATATTTTATTTTAAAATAAATTGTTATTTCCTCTCATTCGTTATATATTTAGATAAATTCTTAATCTCAAAAGATAATATTTTATATTTAATTATTATTATATAATAGTGGTTATTATATAATTCTAAAAGAATAGTGGTTATTATATAATAGTGGTTATTATGTGGCATTTGAATTATTTAATTCTAAAAGAATTTACAAATCTCTTATATAATTGGTTATAACTAAAATTTATAATCCTACGTGGCGCGTTAAGAATTTATCCTACGTAGCTCTCCAAAAACTCTGGAAAAAACTCCTCTTTATATATATATATACTAGGTTTGTGCCTGGGCGATGCCCAGATGGTTGATTAAATTTCAAGATAATCCTTTTACTTGAATGTTAAATACGGTCAAATAATTCCTTCTGATAATGTAGGATATTTAGACATACGATATCTTATGGCTTTATATATATATAATAATTTACTTTTTGTAGTTTTGTTTGTAAATAGATATCTATGTTATTATTGACTTGAAATTATTTTTACTTATCTGAAAGTATTTTTTACCAAACTACTCCGTAAAATTATATTTACTAATTTAAAATTATTTTTACTGATTCTAATATTTTTTTTTACATAAATTAAATAACAATGCATTTTTTATGTGGCTAGTCTCACTATCTGGCCGGACAAAGTAACCCCTATAAAACTGACCGACTAAACCCTGTAATACTAATTGGGTAACCTCTAACACTGAATATGTAACTCTTATCTATATCACTGATTAAGTAACCACTATAACGCTGACCAAGTAACCCCTATAGCACTAACGAAGTAAGTCTTGTAATAGTTGGTGACACGGTTTAATTTGACCAGCTACGTATCAAAGTTTGTGATTAAATATATTATAAATGGATTTTATTTTAAAAAACTTTTTAAAACGAATTTAATGATGGAAATAGAACAGAGTTATAGGATATCTATCAAAAGTTATGATTAATTTTGTATATATATATGAAATAGTAGAATTCTATCGATAATAAAACTCTATACAACAATTTTATCTTAAAATTTATCCAAAAATCGCTTACTTAGTATCACATGTGTCACAATAATACCTTTTTTTCGCCTACGTGGTAGGAAACTTGGCGAAAAACTAGAATGTCAAGTGTCATTGTCTCGTGGCCTGGCTGCGAGACCGACTTTATATATTAGTGGCTAGTTTTGTACCCGGCGATGCCCAGATTGATGATAAAATTTTAGGATAAACTTTTTACTTGAATGTGAAATATGGTCATCTAATCCCTTTTGATAATATGCAGTATATTTAGACTTATAATATCATATAATAGTGTAATTTTTGTAGTTTTGTTTGTAAGCAAATATCTATGTTGATGCCCGGATTGTTGATAAAATTTTAGGATAAACTTTTTGGCTTGAATGTTCAATAATACGATCATGTAATCTCTTTTGATAATACAGGATATTTAGACATACGTATCATATCGCTTATTTATAGAATAATGTACTTTTTGTAGTTTTGTTTGTAAATAGATATCTATGTTATTATGGACTTGAAATTATTGTTATTGAATTTAAATTATTTTTACTGAACTGAAAGTATTTTTATCAAACCAAAATTATTTTTATTGACTAAAACTTATTTCAGTGATTCTCTAATATTTTTTAAATAAATTAAATAACAATGTATTTTGTATGCAGCTAACCACACCATCTGGCTGGACAAAGTAACCTCTATAAAACTGATCGAGTAACTCATGTAATACTAAGCTAACTGAGTAACCTCTAACACTAACCCCTATCTATAACATGATTGAGTAACCACTATAACACTAACCAAGTAACCACTATAACACTAAAGAAGTAACTCTGAATTGTAATAGTTGGTGACACGATTTGACCAGCTACATATAAAAGTTTGTGATTAAATATATTATAAATGGGTCTAATTCTAAAGAATTTTTTAAAACGAATATGATGATGGAAATAGAATTGAGTTATAAGATATTTATTAAAAGTTATGATTAATTTTGTATATATTATATTAAATTTTATCGATAATAAAACTATATGTAATAATTTTATCCTAAAAAATCTTTCCAAAAATCGCTTACTTAGCATCATATGTGTCACAATAATACCTATTTATCTCCTACGTGGCGCGACACTTGGCGAAAAATTGAAATGTCAAGTGCGCTGTCTCGTGGCCTGATTGCAAGACCGACTTTATTTATTAGTGATATATGATATGATATGATATGATATTATATTTTTTTTCCTTTTTATGAAAAATAGATAACATTTTTAAGTAAAATGTTTTTTTTTTACGGGAAGTATAAAATGTTATTAACCTACCCTTTGGATCGTTGAATAGTATGATTAACAAGTTTTTTTTGGAATAAAAATATACTTAAACCATAAAAGAAATTGTTCATTTGTGAGCAGTTATGAATTTATTATCTTATTTATTTATTTTTGAAAAAAAAAATAGTGAAAACTCCGTAAGTAATTTGACAATTTGAGAAGAACATTTTAGCAAAAGACAAATTTATCAACCAAAAGGCCCTTTCTTTTTATATAACTAGGTTAAGTCTCGTGCCATGCACGGTAACTTTCTCTAATTATCATTAGTTTAATACAGTACTTAATTATAAAAATTCGATATCTAATTGCAAATTAAATGAAAAAATTTGTAATTTCAAATAAAATCAAAGAATATTATATCATAAGAAAACACTCTTGCTAAAATTGATTTACTACATAAATTCTTGCTATAATTGTGTTTGTTACCATGAAAGCTATTTACATTTTACTTGATTCTTTTTAAACTCGTTAGTAATTTACTTAAAATAGATTTTCAAAAAAAAAAAAAAAACTAAGAACACCCCAAGAGATGACACGTGTTACTCTAGGTGTGTCTTTTAGTATATAGTTAATTAATAGTTAATATAGCTATAATTATAATAGTTAGGGTGTGTTTGGTGGGGGGTGTTCAAGAAAGGGAAAGGTAATTAACTACCTTGAATCCCTTTGTTGCTGTTTGTTTGACAAAATCAATCATTCCCTTTACCCCTCTCATTCCCCAACTTTCCTCTACTCTCATTCCCCAACCCCTCCTCCCCCCAAGGGAATCACTTTCACCCCCAAACTCCTCTTCACCCAACTACCATGACCACCTAATAACTACCCTTCAACAACTTTGAAAACACCACACAACCACCAAAACCACCTAGCCACCAAAATCGTCCCTAGCTGCCACCACTGCCTAGCCACCACTAGAGTCGTCCCTAGCCGCCAACACCACTACTTACCTCTCCCTCTCCATAAAATGGTCGCCCGGCCCTCTTCATTTTCGTAAAACGACCGGCCTGCCCTCCCTCAACTTCCCCACCCTTCGCCGACCGTATTTGTACTTCGTTTCGGTTTCTTAGTTTAGTCGGAAAGCAAATCAATTTTTGGGAGGAGAGGAATTGCGGCTTCGAGGGTGGTTGGGAAGGGTTTTGAGCGTGGTTGGAAAGGGTTTCGAGGGTGGCTGGGTGGTTGGGGAAGGATTTCTAGGGTTCGTTTTTTCGAGGGTGGGGGAAGGTTTTTGGGGGAGGGGAAGGTCGTTTGGGAGGAGAGGAAGTGCGGCGAAGGGCGGGGCAGGTGCGGTGAGGGGCGGGGTGGCTGGAGAAGTAGGATAGTGAAGAAAGAGGGGGTTGTATAGTGGTGGTGGTGGTGGTGGTGGTGTGGTGGTGATGTGGTGGATGTGATTCCCTTTGATTTTTAAAACAAACAATACACTAAATTTGAGAGATTTTCATTCCATTCTCTTTCATTTCCTTTGTTCATTCCATTCCGTTTACCCCATGCAAATCAAATGACCCCTTAATAATTAATAGTTAATATAGTTATTTTTTTTGAAAGAATATTAGTATATAGTTATTGATTATTGATGATTGATACTAGATATAAATAAGTATAAAAAAACGCGAGAAATTAAGATTCAAATTTATGGCATTACACAAACCCTAAGAAACAGAAATTCCACTTATCTTTTCAAAAAGGGGAAACAAACCAATCAATCAGACTCACAATTCGAGAGTTAGGGTTCTTGAGACAGTGGTGGATTTTTGAGTTTGGGACTTCAATGGCAACAACGCAATCAATGTACTCGCTTCCAGTTCTAGCTCGCCCCGAAATCATCGGAATTTTAGCTGAATACCAGATTATCAACATCTCCGATTCCGATCTCACTAACCCTACTTCTAATTTCGTCTTCAGTCTCTACACTTCCCTATTACTTCACCTCGATTCTCTCCAGTTATTTTTAACCCTAACCCTAACCCTAATTTGTCTTCTGTTAATTTCATTTTTAGCTGTTTTGAATGACATTTTCAATTCGAATTTCTGCAGGGAAGATCCTAGTCAGGTTGATTTCGAGGCGTTGGAGCGCTTCGAGAATCCTGATATGCATGTTGATGCCATTAGAGCAATCAATTTGTATAGGAAAATTAAGGATGTTTTAGCTGCGATTGAGTGCCCAATTAGTTTCACCTTACCTGATTTGATCCGCCCCGACTCGAATCGTACTGTCAAGTTTGCCTCGGCTATCATCAACTTCTTCCTTCATAAGTGAGTTGCCTGTTTGTTGTTTACTCATTTTGTTCAATTTCATATTTGAAATTTGTTTTCTAAAATTTAATGGTACTAGATTATGTTGGTATTTGGGTTGTGTGTCTTAATTCTGTATGCTTTGTGCTCCCTCCTTATAGAGTAATGCTTACCTTCATCAACTGTAGGGAATTACGTGAAATGTGCCCTTAATCTCTTACAAACATAAATGGTATGCCCTATTGCGCAGAAACTGAGTTCATGCTCTATGCTGAGTTGATTATTATTTCATTTCAAAAATTTTCTGGGAGATAATAAAGATGAAAAAAATAAATAAATTGGTTTTAACTATTTTTCTTTTATCATTCACTTTATTGAAATATGTACCTTCCAGAATTTTATTAAACTTTACTATCTTTCATTTTTCTCATTTGTTGGTTTTGCTTTCCAGTATACGAATCCTGTCTGAAAAGGCGTTAATCACTACTCAAAATATTTTTCTCCCATATTATTTTTTTGTATATGTCACACCCATTTATTGCTATTTACAATAAATCTAAATTGTTAACCAATTTACAATAACACTTCTTATGAAAATGGGGATGTTGAAGAGACATTGTTTATGACAAAAATTAAGTGTACATATGCATACAAGGGGAAAAAAAATACATATTTGAGTCTTATTCAACATTTTTTGGATGGAATTTCTCTATTGGCAGAAAAACAAAAAAAAAAATAAAAATAAAAAATAGTTAAATAATAAAAAAAAAACATAAAAATTAATGAAGGTGGTTATTTTAATAAAGAGATAAAAGAAAGGAAGTCAAAACCAAATTTACCTAAAGATTATATTTCATCCGCTCTACAAATATTGCAACAATTACCATTTTAGGAAGTTTCACAAATATTGCAACAAATTCCTATTTGCACGTGTTTTCTTCCTTGTCTCTCCTCATCACGTGGGTCCATATCTTTATTCCTCTCTATTTCTCTCCTCTTCTTAAAATCTGTATCCCCCCACCTATGTTGCAATATTAGAGGAACAGAGGAAGTATATGTTTTTTTAGCCAGTTTGAATTTGGCAAGTTGCTTCTTCAATTTTTGTGGTGTAATATTATTAAATTTGACTGTTATTTCTATCTTAATATCATTGAAATTGTCATAAACTACGTTCACTACAATTTTTTGTTTAATAATCACTTAATTAAGCATTTTTTAATATTTGATTATTTCCCCCATTTTTAAATGATTGACACACTTTCCTTTTTTCGTCCGTTCACGAATAATTGACACATTACTGAAAAAGTGAAAATGGCTAAGACCCACTAATATTTAATTGTTTTCTATCTTACACAATGACCCATCACTTTTAAGGTTTATATTAAAGTAATCCTCACCCCCACTCAAACATGTCACTAACTTCTCTTTACTATGGCCCATGCACTATATCTACGAATAAAATAACATTCCACTAACTTCACTTTACAATAAACAATTCAATAAAACTACCTCACTCAAAAACATTTCTTAAACTCCATGCCCATTTTAATGTGTCAATTATATGAGAATGGAGAGAGTAACATACATTTAATAACCCTTTGCCCTTTCTATGGGCCATAAAATGACCTATACATACTTTTTCTAGCCTCTTACTCATTTTGATATCATGGCTATTGTCCATAACCTATTTGAGAGCTGCCTGATGAAGGTCCAAATAGGGGCCAAAATAGGTTTTTATTGAAAATTTCACAATAAAGGTGTTTCCGCTGAAGAATAACGTGATGTGGTTTATGACCTTACATCTTGTAAACTATAAATACTTTTAACAAAATGACCTTTGAAAGTCCATAATCAGACAAATCTTGCTGCAATGTTTTTGATATTGTATGTCCTCGCATATCTTGACAAATTGATGGTCAAAGTTGGTGAGCCTTCAGCGCAAACTTGAATCGTGATTTTATTGGAAGTAGTGACAGTTACCATGTTCATCAAAAAAGTGGATTACACTATAGTTTAAATGATGTTAGTGTTTCAGTCGTGTAATTACTTGTGACTTTATTGTCTTGTATGCTTTGTGTTTTCTCAATAATGGATCATTCCTATATTGTAGCTATCTTTGTTATTCTGATATCTGTTATATATGTGTTGTCAATGGGACAGAGATTCAAAATTGGGTATGCTAAAGCCATTTGCTGAGGAACTCAATGTACTAGAAGAGGAGCGCAAGCAACGCGAGGATAAAATTTCACTGGTGACATGCTTTATTAAATATATCTCCGGAAAAGTTGAAAACATGGGTGGAAATATGCTTTGATTAATCATAATATTTAATGCAGTTTGGAGAAGAAATCGCAGCATTCAATGAAGCAAGAGAAAGGGAAAAACCTTTGGTCCAAGAAGCTGAGGCTAAGGTAAAGGAATTGCAGCAAAACCTTGATAATCTCAACAGCTATCAGTTGATTTTGAGGAAGGAGCGTCAAGCAATGAAGGAGAAGGCTGAAGAATTGGAAAACACTGTAAGAACTTTGTTAGTTTCCTTCTTCTTTCAAGTCATCGCGTTTTCTCAATTAATTTTTTTCAGTTAGGGACTTAGGGATAATTGTTTCTTATACATTGACATTGTTACTTTGGTGCTCGTGTAATACCCTGCCATTGTTATTACTAGCTTAAGTTGGTTGTTTTTCACACTTTTAACTTATAATTTTGTTACTAGTGAGCGAAAATGGCTTTGTAAGTGAATTTGCAACCAACATATAGTACTGGGTTGCCAGGTGTTTATAAAAATTTGGAATCAATGAGCAGTTATGCTCTCTAGCACAAATCTTGAGTCAACTGTGCAGTATATAATGCTGAAGTGATAGACCAAATAAATTTGCTAGTAAAAAAGTGGTTTGTTTATTCAATATCTATTACAAGATCTAGTGCAATAGTGTTTGAATTGTACCCTTAATCACATTGTCAAAAGTAGTTTCATATATTCTTGATGTAGTGAGCATCCCTTTGTTTCTATAAGTAACTGCTGATAGGTTTGATTTTTTTCTTTCATTAAGGTTAAAAGGTCAGAGTATGAACTCATCCAAGCTACACAAGAGAATGCTACTTTACGTTCTAAAATTGTGCAATCACCAGACAAACTTCAGGTATAAACTCTGCCAGCTGTAAACTGTACTCAGTTTTATAGTTCAACTGTGTTTTAGCTGTTTATTCATTGTTGATAGAACTACAAATTGTTATTTCTGCAACTCATGATTGTTTTTTAGCTTAAGAAAGTATCTCTATAATGCTATGGTCTAAAGACATTGTCTGGTACTCTTTTTTGGCTCTAAAAAACGTTTTCATGAAATTTGACATCTTGACCACCGCATCAAAATTTGTTAATTATTAAGAATATAGGATCAATTGGGCTGTGTCTTTTCAGCTTCTTCCTCTCTCTAATTTATTTTCTTTGTTGAAAAAATATAAAGAAGTATTATATAGAGTGCGTAAGTGTGTTGACAAAGCACATGACGAGGAAAATCATGCACGTAACTTGCTGTTTTAATATGATACACTGAGACTAGCACAATTTAAAGTACTGCACATTTATCCATGAGGATATCAGAAATGTTATTTCTTCCCATCTGATATGACTCTGGATTAATAGATATGTTTTCCCTTGAAGTTTCTAACTATATTGGTTTCCTTGCAATACTTTTCGTTTGTGCTAAAAGCGATCAACATGATTTCCCTGATCGAGATATTTTAAACTATATAGTTCTTGCTTTTGAAGCTGTGTTTTATAAGGTCTCTTTGTATGATTATATTTTAGATGCTCGCTTGAGGCATTTGTGCCTTGAATAGATTTCATCCAAACATGTTAACATTTCTTTCTCTCCTTACCTTGGGTCTTTTACATACAAGTATAATTAATTTTAAAGGCCGCTGGGAGAGGGGGGGGGGGGGGGGGAGGAGTGGAGAGACAGATGTGCAACGGAATATTATCTTAATTGATTTTGTTATGTTCTATATTCATCTGATATTCTGAAAGTCTTGGAACTAATCACTTCACTTCTTACATATGGTAGAGGACGTTAGAGGAGAAAAAAGTAGTTCAAATGGAGGCAAAGGATTCTGAAAGGCTAGCTTTCCAAAGTTTTCAAGAAAAGACTACAGTTTTGGAGGTTTATACAAAGGTAATATGTGATAGTCTTATTTTTGTCTGTGGTATATGATCATTTCCTATGCATTGTGTAGCTCTGTAGTTGCCAGTTTGGTTGCAGATCTAATTTTTAAGATTTATTTGTAATATTTGTCTTCGCTTTCCATATTAGTTTGCAACCTTGCATCCCTTAATTTATTTTATTTTATTTTGTATAATCATCTCTGTTCATTCCACATGGCTTGCGTATTGATTTCATTTCTTGTCTTAGAGATGATTGATTTATTGTCATTTCTTGTCTTAGAGATGATTGATTTATTGTCAGTTGGCTGTGTGGAATACTTTGATTTGGTGACATGAAATGATTTGATTGGTAGCCTTGTTGATTGTTGATTGGAGGGATGGAACTTATTATACTTTTAATTGTTTAAGGAAGTAAAAGTTCTAGCATGATTAACTTTTCTAGAAATTGAAGATTGAAATACTACGTTATTTACATCAAGAGGTAAGGATGTGGTTTTTATGCTTTTGGTTTTCTAATTTTCAAGATTAGACTGCTATATTTTTGGTTAATTTAGAATTTGGCTGTATACTAAGCCATTGAAATTCTAATTATGTTTATATGCTACACAATTAATGTATTGCTCATGTTAACTAAAAAATTTGCCACAAGTATCAATAGTTTCTGTTTCCCTCCATGCATTGTGCATAATGAAGTTGAACTGCTATGAACTTATGAAGTAGAGAATTTTAAGGAAGGCAATTCACATGTCACTCTATGTGCTGCTTATCTCAGGCTTCGCAGAAAATGACAAAGCAGTTGGCTCAGATGCAAGCAATACAAGAACAGGTTTGTTTCTTGTAATCAATCTTGTATTTTAATCGGTTTCAGAATATAAGAGATATAGATCCTAGGCATATATTCCGCCAGCTGAAGTAATTTTTTTTTTTTATTCCCATAAGATTTTTACAGCTACAGTTTGCACACACATTAAGTAATTGGAGAGAGTATGTTGATGTGGTGAGTATGTGGAAAAAAAGGTGGACAAAGTAAGAGGGTGGAAAAAGGTAGGTGAATATAGGAAATGATAAGTAAAAGAAAGTGATAAAATGGGGTAAATATTCTTAAAAAAAAAAGAAAGGGGTAAATATATAGGGGTAATGTGGGTAAGGTATTAAATGAGATTTGCCAAAAATGGAATAATGTAAATGTGTAAACAACTATCAGGAAGTCGAGGAACACATTAAAATAGAAAGTGTAAAGAACTTCAACCATTACAAAAAGTAACAATATCATCATCCCAAAATATAAATTTAAAAAAAAAAAAATATAATTACAATTATTGTCGTTGTGAGGAAAATTTTTGCTCCTCCATCCAAATAACAATATCCTGATTATTTATACAAAGGAATGGGAAAAAAAAAATAACAATAAGTTCAGATAATTGATTAAAATACATGGATGTTTGATATTGCATTGAAGTAATTTCAAGGTAATTATCTTCTAAGGAAATTCTACAGGATAATCCTCAATTTTTGCTACCTGGATTTGGTAACCCACTTTTATTTCTATTTCACAAAATGACCCTAATTAAAATTGTATTCCATCTTATAGCCTTATTGGGTTAGTTTTAATTAAAATACAAACCATGGTTAACCTTAATGATTAAAATTACCTATATGCCCTAACCTACAACACTTTACAAAATCCACAACAAAAATTGCAACTGTACATCCATCACCGTAAACTAACCATGGCCAGTGAAATCTACCCCAATCACTTGCAAATCCACTTTCCTTAGCTGGAAATCGCACACCCCACCGCCGAAAACCCATTACCCATCACAAAACAACCCATCTAGCTCGAAACCACCCCCTCCAACCATAGACAACCTCACCCAACCAATAACAACCCCACCCACTGCTCGAAATGTACCCTTCAATTGATAAAATCTACCACCTTTCCACCCAAATCCAACCACGCTAGCCTAAAACTGCTCACCCCTTCAAAAATTCAACCCACAGCGTTTACCCCCTTAAAAAATCTGACCCACACCTCTCACCCCTTTGTAATCGGTTTGGGGCTTATGTGGGTCGGTGGTGTTGATTATTGGAGCAGAGGGTTGTGTGAGGGAGCTGTAGTCTTTGGGTTTTGTGGGTTGTTGTGGTTGTCATTGTTGCTGGTTTGGTATTGTGGTCGCGGACAAGTTGGGTGGTGGTGGCGCGCTAGGGGATAGAGAAATGGAGGTAGCGGTAGGGAGTAAGGTGGGGGGGGGGGAGAGTATAGAGGAGTGGTTTTATTTATTATTATTTTTTTAAAATTCAATATATATATATGTATACATATATTTTTTTTTTTTTAAATCTTACCATAATTAAAACATTCATTTAGGTTATAAGGAGGAATAAATTTTTTTGTTAGGGCCATTTATGAAATTAAAAAAAAAAGGAGGGTTGTAACAAAAATTGAGGGTTACCATAAGAATTTCCCTTATCTTTATAATAATGAAATATAATATGGTATCTGTTCCATTTTACTTGCAACAGTTTGACTTTTATCTCTACTGATGCATAATTCAACTATTAAAATCTTTATTTATGAATAATTTAAAAATTACTTGATGAATTTAGCAATATCTTACTTGATTATTGCCTTACATATCAATTACTAAAGATGTTAAAAAAAATGTGAATAGTGGCAAATATCAAATTGTTGTGAGTAAAATAGAATGGAGGAATTGCAAAAGTCAGGGGTTGTTGGGTTCAATTTTAAAGAAAGGAGTACAATCAAGGAAAGGCAAGGAAAGCAAAGTAACCAAAGCCCCTTTAAATCATACAATTTTCATTTTCTTAAATTACACTTATGTTTGCACGAGAATTAAGCCCCTAAGAAAGAGTGTGTAAAGGTAGGCAAACAAGTCACCCAACAATACTAGTGGGTAAGCTGTGGTGGCCTCCCGTAATATTATACTATAAGTCGGTAGGTGTTAGTGGGCCAAATGAGGGTATAAGTGTATAATAAACTATTCTATCAATGGTATAAAGGTAAACTGCAAAAAATTAGGTGGTGTTGGGGCTGGAGTGTAGCTGTGTTTATTTTTATATATGAGGGTTGTTGAATGGAATGAGGAAATTGAAACCCCAAGAGAGCGGAGTGAAATTGAAAATTGTTTTGGTGAAACCAAATATAGTTAAAGGGGTAGAGATATGCACAAAACCCAACCATACATAATCCAAGGGAAATAAGGTAACGGTAACTGCATCCCTTTTACCAAATGATCCCTTAAATGCTTAGGTACAACACACATGATAAGTCAAATTGGAAAAGAACATTCATTTGATGGGCGGAAGGAGTGAAGAGATTCACATTTTTTTGGGGTCCTAAAAATCAATGAATTATTCAGAATTAGTGCATCATTATTACTATGGAAAGGAAGTTTGCATGGGAAAGAGTGAAGAGATTCACGCTATATAAGAGTTATGAAAATGACTCAATCTTTTGTGCATCTTATAGCATGTTTTTTTAGGGTTCATGATAGCATGTTATTGAAACTGAATATTAGGATTCTTTATTTAATATAATTAAATTTTAAAATTTAGTAATGAAAATTCGTAAAAAGAACATAAATTTCAATAAGTGCATGCCTCATTGGAAGTGTTTAGCAAACTACTTCCGAGGCTCAGATAAGGTCTGCCAAAGTTTCAACTCCGGTTCCCTTTATTATCTTAATAATTCATTAGCTAAGTATCCTAATAAACATTGTAAGAAAGGATAAGAAATTATGATTTGGAAAGAATTGTAGTAAATGCCAAATATATAGATTTCCATCTTTTGGCTGTCTTTCATCCATTAGTGTCAATTGTACCATAGTTTTAAATTGGCATCCTAGTATTCTGCCATTGGGTTTGGGCACTGTGGTAGCATTTGTGTCAAACACCAACAATACAAGAGAAATACTTCCTCCGTTAACGGTTATGTGCAACAAATGTACTATGCGCGGACTCCTAGGCAAAAGTTTTAAAGCATGATTATAGAAAATTAAGAGGATGTGGTTAAGTATTAATCCAACCCAAAAACAAAGAAAAAAACAAATTCAACTAAAATTTAACTAATAACCCACCACCACTAGCACCACCCAGCAGCACCGAAACAACCCAGCAACCACAAAACCACCGCCGCAACCACCGCACCCACGAAACCACCCGCTACAGCACCCACGATACCACCAACCCACCACCCACCGCACCCACGAACCCAAGAACCCACCACCCACAATCTGCACCCACGAACCAAAGAACCCACCACCCACGATTTGCACCCACGAACCGAAGAACCCACCACCACCGCACCAACAAACCCGCAAAAACCCACAAATCTGGAAAAGTAATGGGAGATTCAGAATAACCACCACCACCACCACCATCACACGCCACACAGAACCACCACTACCACACGCCACCCACAAATCACTGAAATCCTCCTAAGAATCACGACAACCACACAAGAACCATGAAAACCACCCTAGAACCTGAAACCCAAAAATCAAACCCATTCAGAAACTACCCCCACGAACCGCCCAAAACCACCACCATCGACACCCACCCATGAAGTAACCATTCACGAAGCACGAAATAGCCACCCACAAACCACCAACACCCACCCACAAACCACAATCCACCCACAAACAAGAACTACCACCAGTTTTACCCACCCACAAATCACCAACAGCTACCCACGAACTGAGATGAGAGATGACAATGAAGAAGATGATGAGAGATGAAGAAGGAAGAAGATGAGAGATGATGATGATGATAGGAAGAAGATGAAGATCGAAGAAGATGAACTGAGAGATGAAGATGGAGGAGAGAGATGGTGGGGAGATGAAATTAGGGATTGATCTGATTTTTTTTGGGGGAAAAGCTTAGATAATTAAGTTAGATTAGGGTTATAATAATTTGTAATTATGTGTAGTATTATGTGTTAATAATTTTTAAATGAGGGTATTTTGGTCATTTTACCATTAAAAAGTTACTAAAAAGGAAAGAATAGACTTTGTTGCAAATAATAGTTAGCACCCATTTTTAGTATATGTTGCAGATAACTGTTAACGGGGGTAGTATATATATGCTTAGTTATGTATCTATTGGTTGACAAAAGTTGGGTACTCTTACAGGTGAATTCTTACAAATCTGCTGAAAAGGATGTTAAGCAACTGAAGTCTAAGTTGAGTGATGATCAAATGCTGGAGAAATCACTTGAAGCCAAAGTAGTTGAATCCCAGGCCAAAGGTTTTTATCTTTTGAGATTCCTGAGTAGCTGCTTCGTTTCTTTTCAGACATTGCTTTGCTTGCAACTTATTCTTTGCTTTTCACAGCTAGACAGTCGGATGAACAAAAACTTCTCATAGAACAGGAGGCAAAGCTGAGACATGAGGAGGACACAAGGTTATTGAATAATGCAAAGTTGGAGGCAGAATCACGGAAACATGATCTGGAAACATGGGGAAGGAAGATTGAAACTGTGGTAGCTGAGGTAATCTATTCTACAGTTTAAAAGTATTACACATTGTTTGGATAGAGGAATTTGAGGGGAAAGGAAGAGAAGGGAAAGGGAGGGATGCAATTTCCTTTGTTTGGATAGTAAATTATGGAGGGGAAGGAAATGAAAGGAAAGGAAATGGGGGGAAAATATTTCAATCATTGCTTAAGAGTAAAATCTTTCCAAATTTGAAAAGATTTGGAAGGAAAATAAATCATACAACCTGATTTATTTTTAAATGACAATTTTACCCTTTTTATTTTCAAAAATCAATCCCCAAATTTTCTCTCCTCCAATGCTGGAATTCTACGCTAATTTCCCCAATTTCCTAACCCTAATTCCAATTTTCTACCACCACCAATTCGCCATTGTTATTGTCGTCGTAATCAATTGCTTCCAGTTTTCGAGAAAACTCTATCTCCGCCTCTTTTGCTGAGCTTTTTGATGAAGGAATTCAATTATTGTTCTGTAATCGAAATTTTGCTAGAATTTAAGAACTGTGTAATTCGCCATGATTGATCTGAAGATGAAGGAATCATGCGCTGATGGAGGAAGATAATTAAGAAGAATAAAGTTCAAGGGTTTTTGGTTTAATTGTGAATTGAAATTTGGTGGTTGAATGGAACAAAGGAGCACAATGTTGTTGGTTGTTCTTTCCCCTTTCTTCCTCCCTCCCATCCCTTTCGTTTCTATCCAAACAAGGGAGCTGAATTTTTTCCTCTCTCCCTTCCCTTCCCTCCCTACCCCTTCCCTACCCTTCCTCTATGATTCTGTATCCAAACAAGCTGTTAATGTTAGGTGGGGTCTATTGCTGGTGTAATAGGTGTCTTACATTTCAAGACATTTAAGTTGTCTTCTGTTTCTATTATTTCTAGGTTGATTCCATAAAAGAAAAGACCAAGTCAACAAAGGATCATGCAGCAGTGACACAAGCAGAGTTGCTGAAAAAAGGTGAAGCGATAGTAAATGAGGTAATTTTCTATAATATAGAGTAGTCTGTTGATGGACTTTCCATATAATGAGCAAGAGTTATCTTTTCCTTCATTTAAAATACTTGTTTTACTTTTATTTTTTATGTTACATTTTATTTTCTTACGCATTATTTGGATTGAGAGAATTGGAGGGAAAGGAAGAGAAGAGAAAAGAAGGGATTCATCCTCCCTTCTTTGAATACGTTTTGATAGGAGGGAAGGGAAGGGAAATGGAAGGATTCATTTTCCCTCCCTCTTAAATAAACCAAATCCTTCTAATGTTGGAAAGATTTGGAGGGAAAATGTAACCTTACCTTCTCCCTCTCCTTCCATTCCTCCCCCTTCCTTCTTCTTCCCTCCCTTCCCTTTATCCTCCACTTTGCTATCCAAACAAACTGTTAATGTGAATTGCTTCCTCGTTGATACTTTTATTCTATTTTTTTTTTATTAGGGCTTGCCTGGATTTAAGGGAATGGTTAGGGGGTTAATGATTAGGAGGGGATTTGTTAGGGGGTGGTAATTTTAGAAGGGAAACTATTAAGGGGACTCATTTACAGCAGGTTTGGCACACAGTATTTTATTACTAGGGAAATTTATTCTTGTGTTTGGTATTACTAGGGAAAATATGTACTTCGATTCCTCAAGTTCACAATAATATTTTTCCTTAAAATTATTAAAATCTGATTTATCCCAATAAAATTTACGAAAGCTAAAGCTGATTAACAAACATGAAATTTATCCCAATATTATTAAGCCTAGTCAAGACAAAAATCCCACTTTTTTTTTTAATACCCATTTTATCAACAAAATCACATGAAAAATACTTTTAAAAAACTTAGATGATTGAATTTATGGTAATACTACATGGTAATCCGAAAAACCATAGTAATATACTCGTCAAAAGAAATAAAAAAAAGAAAAAAAAAGCATGAAAAAGTAATTCAAGATCCGTGTCCTTAGGAAAATCAAACAAAAAATGTTTGAACAAAAAAATTAAGGTTAGGTAATATACAATTGCAATTCGAAATTGAAGAAGAAGAAGAAACGGAAAATCAACGTAAAATTAGAGTAATTTTTTATTTAAAAAATAATCTAATTATTGAAAATCAAATGAATAATTTTTTTATAACCGTAAACCAACATAAAAATTGAAGTAAATATATAATAAATAAAAATCGAAATTAACAAATTAGTAAAGAAAAAATTTCACCATGCATACCAGATCTGAAAACAAATTCGAATTCAAATTGCAATTTCATGGGCATGGAAGGAAAAAGATAGAGAATTTGGGAAGAAAAGAAAGCATAGGTAAGGTTGTGAGGAGAGAAAAACTAGGCTAATGGAAATGCCAAGTTGGACTGCAACCTGATAATTGTTACTATTAGGGGGGGGGGGGGGGTTGGGTAATATATTACCCTCATTCAGTTATTTGAGGGGAAGTTTTTACGGGCCTAAATGATTATACTCAATCTAGGCAAAGAATACAAGTCCATAATTATTTACCCTTTAACTTTTACACCCCATTTCTGGCGGGGCCTCAGTTGTAACTTTTATAACTTTTATATCTGCTACCTGTTACCACTAACCATTCTCCGATGAAATCTCTGTTACCATATTTGAGAAAACACCATTGGCCCTTTGGGATTTACTGTTGGTCGTTTGAATTATGCTTGGAACTTAATTCTATTGTTGATTATTGCCTCATAATTACTAGTTTTTGAATAAAATTCGGTTACTTTCTCCTCATCTGATCCTTGCACCACTAGAGGGAGAATTGATCAACTATCACTTTTTGAGGTGAAAAATTGAAAATATTGTGCATTATCATACTATCTTATCGTTTCTAATATCAAACATCATTTAATTTATGAGTCTTTAGCCTTTTGCATTCATTCATTCAATTAAATTTCAATGTAACTACAAGGTTAGTGAAATAGCTATAATAGTCTGGATTTCCGAAAATGGCCATCCTTCTTAGTTACCGTTTCAACAACAACAAATCAACAATAATAGTTTAGAAAAAGAAAGTTATAGGGGTTGATTAATGTGAATGGTCATAAGGAACCGTTTGACCATGAAAAGAGGACATAATAAGATAAACAGTCGAAAAAGTTTGAAAAAGGTGTGTAAAGTGAGAAAAAGAAAGAGCATCCATATATAATTTAAGAGAGTTTTTAAGGAGCGCCAAGAATAAAATTTAAGAAAGTTTTAAAGGAGTGGTATAATGTGCGAGTAAAAAACATAACAGTTTAGAACACTTTAGCAAAGGAAAACAATAAAGTTTATAAGACACAATTTGAGTAAAATGATAAAAATAACGGATTCTTCACCAAATACCACTTAGTTTTTCAAAAATTCACCATATACCACACAAAATTTTCTAATTCACCATATACCACTGAGTTTAACATAAATGTCACAAAATGCCATTTTCGTTAACTCAGTCATTAACGTTAATTGTGCCACGTGGCAGCTAGCAATTGGTTGCCTTTTAAATTATTTAACTTTAAAATAATTATTTAATTAAGGGTGTTGTTAAACGTCGCTCCCATATTACAACTCGTCCCTCGCATTTTTTTCATGAAATTCCATTTTTGCTCCCCGTATATAATTAACTCACGACACTCACTCACGACAGTTACAACACATTTTACGCTCGTACTTCTCTCTCTAAAAACTGAAATTCTCTTCAAAAATTAAAAAAATACAGATTTTTTTTTTTAAATTTGAAAATTCAAAAAAAAAAAAAACAGAAAATAAATAAGAAAAGAACAACCACCACCACCAATCCAAGGAGGGTAATCCAATGGCGGATCGGAGGCAAATAAGGCTCACTTACAGCGGTCGTTGTGGCGGCATGGGAGGCGGCGAACAAGTTGCTCAAAGTTCTTGCGATTTTCGTAAATTCATTAAAAAAAAAAAAATTCCGGAAAATTTGGGACATCCGCCTGAAATTTCTGGATGTCCCTTGTGACATCCGCCTGAAATTTCTGGATGTCTGCCTGAAATTTCCGGATGTTCCTAGGGACATCCGGAAATTTCAGGCGGATGTCCCTAAAATCCGATTTTTTTTTTATTTATGTTTTTTGGTTTTCGTGCTTAAATTTTTTTTTCCTCATAGTTGATTAAATGCAAGTGGTGGGTCAAAGTGCTCGGGAATAATATTAAACTGCTCGGTATATTATGTGACAAAGTGGTGGAGCCTTATATAGGTCAAATTAACACAAGGACGAAACGGTAATTTCACATTTAAATGGGAGCGTCACCATGTAAATTGGGAGAGTCGAATAGCAGTTCACTTAATTAATTATCAAAAAAAAAAAAATAAAAAATTGAAAAACTAAATAATTAATTGAAAAACTTTTACAAAAATAATTGAAAAAAAATTAAAACCACCACCAACTCCCAGCCCTCTCCTCGCCCCCAACCAGCACCCAGCCAGCCACCCGCCCCCCCGCCACCCGCTCCCTGCCTTGAACCACCACCGCGCCGGCGCCGCCCCTCACCCAGCCTTGCGCTGGTGCCCCCATCCCTCCCTTGAACCACCATATCCAACCCAAGTTCTCCCTCCTATCGGTCCAAAACGTCTCCTCCTGCAACCCTTCCACCTAAGCTGAAACCCACCATGCCGAAATCCAACGCCGGCGACCCAGATCCCCCTCCCTCACGTCGCCGCCGCCCAATTTAGTTGCAAACAACCAACCCAAAACCCAAAATCGAGATGAAAGGTAATCGGAGAATACCTTTACGAAAGTCGATGATGAAAGATAAGAGATGAAAGGGATCCATTCCAATTCCAAATCCAAATACAAAATTCAGATTATTAGACCAATCTTATCTCAAATTATACTAAGGAATTACAACAATCTTCAAATACCACAATTTTTTCAAGTTGAAGAGAGAAACGAACAGAGATGAGGGTTTTCGTGGGAGATGCGGGCAGGCGGTTCAGGGGAAGGGGAGGAGCGCCGGCGGGGGGTTTTGGTCGGATTTCGGCCGGCGGGAGATGCAGATTGATTTTTGTTTTTGGGAAGATGGGTTGAGAGAAGTGCCTATAGAGGATGGTGGTTAAGGAGGAGGACGGGAAGGGGAGATGGTAGGGGTAGGGGGAGCTTCGGAGGGCCGGCGAGGGAGGAGGCTGGGGAAGGCCGCCGGCTGGGAGGGGGAGCTGGGCTGGTGGGGAAGGAGGTGTCGGGGTTGGTGGAGTGAGGAGGTGGTGGTTGTTTTTTTTTTTTTTAATTCTTTATTTAACTAATTAATTAGATAATATTAATAAGAGTCAATAAGTGACAGCCACGTGGCATAATTAACCCTAATTACTAACGGCGTTAACGGCACACTAACGACAGTTACCAAAAATGGCATTCTGTGTTAACGTACAGTAACTCAATGGTATATGGTAAATTAGAAAATTTTGTGTGGTATATGGTGAATTTTTGAAAAACTCGGTGGTATTTGGTGAAAAATCCGTAAAAATAAAGCTAAGATAAAATAAACAAATGTATATATATAACCATGATATGCCCTTGACGTGAATTTTCTCCCTCCACACCGCCCTATCCAATTCCATATTTTCCTCAATTCCCAAAGCACTCATATCACCATTGTCCAAGTTTTCTTAAGTCTTTCCCTACCCATTGCGATCCCAACATTTACAACTCTTTAACTCTTTAATCCTCCTTACTGAAGCCTCACTTGGTCTTCTTCTTACATGGCTAAACCACCTTAAGCGAATCTCTCTCATCCTGTACTTAATCGATGTAACCCCTACTTTCTTCCTAATTATCTCATTCTTTAATCGATCCTTTCTTGTATGGCCACACATCCATCACAACATATGCATCACTGCCACATTCATCTTATGCATGTGGCAATGCTTTACAGCCAACATTGTGTAGCATATAACAAGGCATGCCTTATTGTCGTTTGGTAGAATCAACCTTTAAATCTATGAGGCATGTTGGGTTCACATAAAACTTTGTCGCATTCTTCCACTTCAACCAACCCGCTTAGATCCTATGAGCTATATCAACATCCAATAGTCCATCCATTTGAATAACATATCCCAACTGTGAACCTTGGATAATCTTTTCATCCAAGGTGATCAACCTTGTCTCCCTATTTCTCACGCCGCTAAACTTACATTCTAAATAGTCCGTCTAACTTTCAAGCCACGAGATTCCAAAACCTGTCTTCACAATGTTTACTTACCACGCCTTTTTTTGTCTCATCAATAAACATATCACCGATATTTTCACGTATTATGTCCCGAGGTTACCATGGGTGACTTTCCCTCCTTACGGCGATGAAACCGTAGCCTCAATGATGGTTAGTTTGATTATTTTGCTAAATAAGTCGCCTTACAATGTACCCTAAAAGTAAACGAAAAAACCCGTGCATATCAATACGGGTGGGAAAAGCGATCCCATGTTAGCATCATCCCATCATATATCAATGGAGTCAATATTTTGTTGCAGGCTTTAGGCTATTCATGATTTTACTTTTGTCATTTTGTGGTACTTTCTGCAAAGTTGCCTCAATAACTATTTATCATTGACCTGGCTGAATTTTTTGCTGTTCCCGTGTTACTTTTATTGAATTTTCTTTACAATACACTTCGTATCTTTATTCTTTTACTGAAAACAAATGAAACATGTTTAAAATGGAGAGATTGTTTCATACAGAATGGTTGCAATGTACTCCTTAGTATCTGATATATTCAATATTTGTTTACATGTAGCTAAATTTGTACACAAGCTCTACTGCACAAGTAATGTCAAACATGAAGTTGCAAATGACTGCGCCAGGGAATTGAGCTTATCCTCACCCACCACACATATTGACAATGGATTGGATGCGAGGCCAATCATGTTGTAAATATTTAGGTCCTATGTACATGTACTTAATCTCTATACTAACTTCGTTTTCTTGAAGTCTACCCATTTACTATTTATGTAGTCAAAGTTAAATATCTTTGATCTTGTCTTTGAATTATGTAAAATGAATATCATTATCATGTAGGATTGTTTTGATATATAATTTCGTATATAATATCAATTATTTTAGAATTTTTATACTACATCCGCTTCTTATTACTCGCAACAAGCTAGTGTTTTGCGGACTCCTAGGCAAAATATCTTAAGCATGATTATTGAAAAATAAGGGTATATACTTAAGTATTAATCCAACCCACAAAAAAAAAAAAGAAAAAACAAATTCAACCAAAATTAAATTAAATAACCCACCACCACGGACACCACCTAGCTGTAGGACTTTAGGTACTCTAAGCGGAATTTCATGAATCATATTTATAAGCATATAATAACCAAGATCTTTGCACAACACATAAAGAATATATAATTACACCTTTGAAACGTGATTCAACGTGTGATCGGGCAAGAACAATAGGAGAACTAGAACCCCAAACGTGGTTCCTCTACTTGGTCCACGGGCACAAATTGAACCTCCACTAATGCTAGTTAGTTGTGATTGAACCCTTTCAATCAAGCTTCTACGGAGAGGAGAGGAACGAACTAACCATGAACAACCACCACGAACACCATGCGCCACCAAGGAGGGGCGGCTGTACGGATGGGAGAGAGGGGGAGGGGCGTGCGTGAGAGAGAGAATGGGATTAGGGAGTTTGGTTGCCTTGCTTCACAATTGACTGTATGATTAATTGTGATGTCTCCTCAAAACCTAGGCAATGACTTTATTTATAGATCACATCTATAATTAGAGTCATGTGAAGCCCAAACTCCTAACTTAATTCTAACTACTCTAGCCCAACTCCTTACATGGTTTGTCATTACCTCATGAGACCCATTAATGGGCCTCATACTTGTTTAATCCAATACCCTTGAGTGTGACCTCATAGGATCCATTCTATTGAGCTTTGAACTATTTGACTAGCCTAAAGATCATTTATCATATCTAGCAACAGACAATGACGACCCAAAAGAATGAACTAATTATCTCCATAATAGTGATCATTGATATATCTAGTAATTGCACTTGACGAAGACATAAATCCTTCAATCTCCCACTTGTTTGAGACAAGTGCGCAATATTCAAATTCCTTAAGTCAATGTGTGTCGAATTGATAATATGATTGCATCTCATGTCGTGACCATATTAATCTAAAAATCTTTTCTTGAAACTGAGTTAGAATTATAAAACAAATGATTACTATGTAATCCATTTGAGCACGGCCATGCATTTTTCTAAATTCTCCATCTTCAAGGGGCCATGACACATTCCTAATTAAATAGGTAGACTCAATCCAATCTTGTGGCAACCAAGGCTCCCACTCAACTTTTGAAGTAACCAGGAAACACCTTGTATAGTCCCCTTTTACGGAATGACGTTTGGGTGTACCACAGTTAAATCAATCATTGAATGAAATCAATGTTCCACTCATGTCAAAGGAATCCACTAATATATTCGGAAGCTCTATACTTGAACTTCAAAGTAGGTCAATAGTTCGATCATGCATCATTCATGTATATCCATGTGATTGACTAAGCATCTCTATGCCCCTATAGCCCATGAAACTGCGCTATCCAATCAATCTTACATGCTAGTCCTTTTATTGAAATCATTTATGTCCAATTTAATGATTTCACCTGTGGGGTTTTATTCACCAAGTCATCAACTTGATGAACCCATCAATTCGTAATTATTTTGGACATTTTATTTAACATCAAAAACCATAATTAAATAAGAGTAATAATAAATTTCTGATTAAACATAATTCTGCAAGTAAATGTATTACATATGTAATAAGTTTTCTCAAAACAAATATAACTTAAATTACATCACTTGCTCCAATCTAGTTGCCCTAGTATGAGCCTCATGCTTGGACAGTGGAAGGGGTTTAGTAAGTGGATCAGCGATATTCTCATCCGTATGAACTTTGCTCATCTTGACTGCCAACGATCTCTCGAATGAGGTGATACTTCCTCTCAACATGTTTGGATTTGAAATGTGACCTTAGCTCATTAAGGAACTTCTTGATCCAAACTGCTTCCTTAGCTGCTTCAACCGCAACCAAATACTCAGATTCTGTCGTAGAGGCTGCGACAGTGCTTTGCTTTTCGAACTCTTCCAGCTCACTGCTCTTCCATTCAGACAGAAAATGTACCTGGACTGGGATTTGAAATCATCTCTTTCTGTTTGGAAACTCGCATCCGTATAGGTCTTGACGACAAACTCATTTTCGCCACCATATACTAGAAACATTCCTTTAGTCCTTCTCAAGTACTTGAGGATGTTCTTGGCAGCTGTTCAGTGTGCTTCACCTTGATTTGCCTGAAACCTGCTACACATGCTTAAAGCATATGCAACATCTTGCCTTGTACATATTGTGGCATACATAATTGACCCTATTGCAGAGGCATAAGGTACACTAGCCCTATGCTTCAACTCTTCTGGCTTTTGAGGGCATTGAGTTTTACTGAGCTTAATACGATGAGACATGGGAAGAAATCCTCTCTTGGAGTCTTTCATGTCAAACCTGTCAAGGATCTTATCAATATAAGTCTCTTGACTTAGTCTAATCATCCTTCAAAACCTGTCTCGATGGATCTTGATTCCCAAAATGTACTCGGCGTCACCCAAGTCTTTCACGGAGAAACAACTCTTCAACCATTCCTTGAATGACTCAAGAATTGGTATATCCTTCCCTATAAGCAGTATGTCATCTACATACAAGACAAAGAAAACTAGGCTGCTCCCACTAGACTTCTTGTATACACAAGGTTCTTCTTCGCTTTTGATCGCCTCATCAAAACGAATGTTCCAACTCCTTGATGCTTGCTTCAATCCATAAATGGATTTCTGAAGCTTGCATACCTTTCTAGGATTTTTTGGATCTTCAAAACCCTCAGGTTGTGTCATATACACATCCTCCATCAAGAACCCATTCTAGAAGGCGGTTTTGACATCCATCTGCCAAATTTCACAATCGAAAATGTAGCAATCGCTAGAAGAATCCGAATAGACTTAAGCATTGCTACTGGGGAAAAGGTTTCATCATAGTATATACCATGAATTTGTCTGAACCCTTTTGCAACCAACCTTGCTTTATAGATGTAGGCATTTCCATCTTTGTCTATCTTGATCTTATAGACCCATTTGCAACCAATAGGTTTGACCCCATTAGGAAAGTCTACTAGGGCCCACACATCATTTTCAGACATGGAGTCCATTTCGCATTTCATGGCCTCAAGCCATTTCTCTGATCAGTTGGGGCTCGCCAAAGCCTGCTTGTAGGTTGTGGGTTCCTCATTCTCCAACAGGAAGATTTCGGAATCCTCAATTAACAGAACATCAACAAACTGTTTGTTTCTGATTCTGCTAGACTTACGTAGGGTAGGAGCAACAGTAGAAATGTTCTCTTCAACTCTTAGAAGATTTTCGCAAGAATTAGATTCAAGTGAGACGATAGGAGTCTCGCTAGTTGAATTAGCTTGCTCCAACGCATGATTTGTCAAACTAGTTGACTCATCTGCCCTCGCCTCCGACGTGGTGTTATCCATATCCATTTGTTGCTCGTCTCGAATTCCTTCGAGAACCACTTTACTCCCACTTGGCTTTTTAGAAAGAAATTCCTTTTCTAGAAAGACACCACGCAAGCAACAAACACTTTGTTATCTTCGCGATTGTAGTAGTAATACCCTCTTGTTTCCTTGGGATAACCCATGAAGAAACATTTGTCTGATTTAGGGCCTAGTTTGTCACCTTGTAAACGCTTTACATAGGCTTCACAATCCCAAACCTTGAGAAAAGACAACTTTGGAACCTTTTCATTCCACATCTCATATGGAGTCTTTTCAACTGCTTTGGACGGGCTTCTATTTAGTACTTTTGCAGCTGTTTCTAATGCATATCCCCATAATGATATGTGAAGATTAGTAAAACTTATCATGGATCGAACCATGTCTAGCAAGGTTGGATTCCTCCTTTCTAACACACCATTTAACTGTGGTGTCCCTGGAGGAGTTAATTGTGAAATCATTCCACAATCCCTCAGATGATCATCAAAGTCTTGAGTCAAATATTCACCACCACGATCAGACCGTAGTGCTTTAATTGTCTTCTCAAGTTGATTTTGTACTTCATTATGGAATTCTTTGAACTTTTCAAAGGCTTCCGACTTGTGCTTCATTAAGTAGATATAACCAAATCTACTTAAATCATCAATAAAAGTAATGAAGTAGCTAAACCCACCTTTAGCTTTTGAACTCATTGGTCCACACACATCTGTATGTATGAGTCCCAAAAGGTCACTAGCTCTTTCACCTATTCCTGTAAAAGGTGACTTGGTCATTTTACCTAACAAGCATGACTCACAATTTTCAAATGATTCATAATCAAATGATGAAAGGAGTCCATCCTTTTGTAATTTTTGGATGCGTGATTGGTTAATATGACCTAACCTACAATGCCATAGTCCATCCTTAGTTGGGTTTGAACCATATGTTCGTTACTTTTTATGATCTATGTTATAGACATGGGTTGTATAATCTAATACATATAAATCATTAACCAATTTTGCACTAGCATATAACATATTATTCCTTGAAATAAAACAACAATTGTTTTTAATTTCAAAAGAAAAACCTTCAGTATCTAAAATAGGAACTGAAACAATGTTTATAGTAATCGCAGGAACATAATAATAGTTATTAAGAACCAAAACGAGTCCAGATGGGAGCTTGAGTTCATAGCTTCCAATAGCAAGTGTGATAAGTGTTATTTATGACACATTTTAGGGTGTTTTTCTCCCTTAGTTTTAGGTTTATTTTGGTGTTTATTTGTTATTTCTAGTACGTTTAGTCTTGTTTTATTTAATATTGTCCTATTATATGTTTTTAGTCCTTAGTTGTGAATAATGCGCTTTTTGCTCAATTTCTAGCTTGATTTGCGTGCTTTTCTATGTGATCGTTAACTCTTTTCTTTCTTGGTCTATTTTGTCTAGGTACTTGGCACGTTCCTCGATTTTGATGGCCCGAGGGAAGGCCGAAAAGTTACATTAGAAGTAGTCTTGAAGCTAAAAAGGAGCAAAGAACCAAGCAAGAGCAAAAGGAGCAAAGAACGAAGCAAGCACAAGCAGACAGTGCCGTGGCGCGGTGGCCAGCGCCGTGTCGCAGCGGCCGGCGCCGTGGCATGGCAACACTGCCGTGGCGCGACAGCCTAGTTTTGTCCACCACGGGCGCGGTTTCAGCACCCGTGAGCGCGACTTCTGTCGCCGCGGGCGCGGCCCTGCGGGTTTCCAGTTTTGGCCAGCTCCTGTAGATGCCCCGGAGATGCCTCTCTGCGGGCGCGGCCGTGGCTGCCGCGAGCGCGGGTTTCTGGGTTTCCTTCGCGTTTATCTTCATTTTTTCTCCATTTTTCTTCTTGTAATATTAATCGGACGACCTTCTTTAGATTTCAGGGGGCAAGTTTTTACATTTTCTTTTTCCTCTAATTAGGATTAGGCTTAGATTAGGTGTTTCTGTCTCTAGTTTAGGAGTAGTTTTAGAGAGAGAAAGGTTGGGATTTCAATGGAGATTTGAGAGCTTGAAGAAGCAATTTTGTGGATTCTCTTCTCATCTATTCAATGAGCTTTTCTAACTTTCTCTCACCTTTATTTCTTTGTTTAATTCTTGTTTTTGCTTAACTCTTTGTTGATTAGAGTAGATAATTAGTTAACTTGTTTGATTCTTGCTTTAATTCTAGTTTTACCTTGTTTTCTAGTTTTTTTTTTCATTATGTTTGCTTAGGTTTTGTTCTAGGGAAACGGATGAAGGTTATGTTGATGAATTGAGTGATTGGTTGTGATTAGTATGCAATTGATTCTTGATTATTGTGTTTGGATGATGCTTACATTGACTAGAATCTTTTTAGCTAATTGATTCTAGGTTTTTCATTGTGCAATTGTGCGTAAGTGAGTTGATTGAGAGTCTAGATTCTTCCATACCTTTGCTAGGCTAGTTGCGCGGGAGTGAATTAGCTTAGTAGGATAATTAACATGTTTAATTGCGCGGGAGTGAGTTGAGTGTGTTGATCGTTCCTAATTGAGATCATGATCATCTAATTGCAATTTGTTATGAATTCATTAATGTAATTGGATTCCCTTTTCCCTAGTATCTTGTTAATTGCTTTAAGTAGTGTTTAGTTGTTTCTCTCTCTATCTCACAACCTTCCTACTAGTTTAATTACCACAAATTAATACACTTAGTCCTTGTGGTTCGACCCTAGCTTGCCACTATCTAGTGTGAACTTGATAGAGTTAGGTTAGGAATATAAATTATTGATTTGATTTAGGATAGTAGACATTACCTATATCCGGCGTTCAAAGTGCAACAACATTTTCTCCATTTCCTACTCAAAGCATCATCTCTCCATTTTCTAGCCTTTTACTCACTCTTAAGCCTTGCATGTCATTAACAATGTGAGCACCACAACCGGTATCGAATACCCATGTGGAAGAGGAAGTAAGGTTAATTTCTACAACATAAACATTAGGTAACTCCTTACCTTCCGTTTTCAACGGCATGTTGTGGGGACATCATGGTAAATGGTAAGACCACCTACCGCAATAGAAGCACTGGCTTCCTCCTTTCTTCAAGTACTCCTCTATGTGGTTGATCAATAAGTCGACAAGCGTGACTGTAGAGCCTTCATCATCATGAATTAGCTTGACGAGATCAAATCCAGCATGGAGTGAAAACAGAATAGTGTCATGAGCAGAATCATCATCAAACGGTCTCCCTAGGATATCCATCCAATTGAGTAACTCAATCAGTTCCTTGACTTGGGTCCTAACTGACTAACCAGGTATGAGTTTCTTATCCATTATCTTACAATGAATATTTTAAGTCTTAAACATTACACTGTCAGTCCAAGAGTAATATACCGAGGGAATTGAATCAACAATTTCCTTGACATTCTTGTCAATGATGCCTCCACTTCTTAATGCCCCTATGCCACCTCTACAGATAGCATGTAGGCATTCTCGCAGTAAGATTGGCTCATAATCCTTAAACCTTCTCTTCCAACAAGTTGGAATAGAAGCTAACATGAGATTCCTGATTTTCTCTGCATTTGAAACATCTTTCACATACCTTTCAGGAGTTAACCCCACTGTGAATCTGCTTTCAAGATTGAATATTTGGGTATTAATATAGAGGGATATGCGAAGAGTAGCAGCTACTTCACATGAAAGGGACTTTTCTTCTGTTTAAGAGGATTCTGGGAATGTATAACCGAGCATCGAGCTTGTGGCTCTTAAAACATTTCTTAGCTCATTTTCCTAATCCTTGAAATTTCTGAGATTTAACCTTGTTTTCAATTTGGTAGGCAAGTTAGTGTTGTCATTAATGCTATTCATCTACAAACAAAAACGAGGCAAAGTTCAATAATTATGTTTAATAAATTTAAAGCACTGTAAGCGAATTAAATAGGTTACTTTAAAACACTTTATTTAATATTAATTGATCCTTTATTTGTGTAATAGTTGACTGGACTGAGGCCCTATCATCAAGCATTACATTTTCAAGGTAAGTAAACTCTTTAGTAATTACAACTCTTATAACTCTTGGTTTAATAATTACCCATCATATGTTTAATTAGTACCCATTGCTTCAAGGTTCTAAACACTTTAGGTAACCTTGTTGAGCATAACCAATTAAATGTGTAGAACGTGATCTACCCCAAATTACCTAAGATAACAAGTGACACCCTGCGGAGGCAGACCCACCACTCACGATTGGAGGGTTGTTGGGTATCTAATTGGAAAAACAATCTCAATATTACCGGGACCTAGATTTATTATGTTGTGATTATTTAGTGAACTCTAAAGCATCATCAATCAACACAAATAAAATCTAATATGCATGATCTACTAATGCATAAATAAAACATGACATAATATGGTCCCTTAGTCCTAAGAAAACTAGAATTGAAAAGCTCCCACTTGAACCTTCATGGATCTCCATCCACCTTGCTCCTTTGGGCCTTTACTCCACTGGCTTCTTGGATTACCAGCAACCTGTAATTCTATTCTATTCTGTCTACTACTTAAATAAAATAAAATAAATTAGAAAAATACTTAACGGTACGCAGACCGTATTTAGATTACAATTATACATCACGATGCGCAGATCGTATTTAGAATCTATGGGCCATACTAGTCTATCTATAGCAAAATAATATCATATATTATAAAATTACCATATAATAAATCACTCATCATGCTTTCCTAAACTACAACATCGAATGTTCATAATTAAGGAAACATGATACCTAAATATCTCATATTTTAAATTGTAATTAGATAATATTATATATTATTCATGACCAATTATAAAATATCTTATATTTTAATTTAGGTATGAGATAGAATCAAATTTTATTTTAATCAGGAAAGATAAATCATATTTATTCTCCTTGATTATCCTAACTAATTTAGAAGATTCTATCCTAATTACTTAGCCAATCACATAATTTTAAATCAATAATTTCCTAAAATAATTATGGGATAATCTCATTATTTAATCAATTATTATCCATATAGAATCTTTTGCTCAAAATATCTTTAAAACTTATCAAAAATAACAACTTTAATTTTGACAATTATCTTTCAAAATAATATATATATATATATATATATATATATATATATATATATAGAAATGGGATCATATGAGACCACATCCCTTATGTGAGAACCCTTTTATATGTGAGGACTTATTATAACCGTTGGATAAATTATATCCAATGGCCACAATTAATCCCGGTCAAACAAAACAATTTCTTTTGAAACCAAGTTCTTGCGTTTTTTCTCTCTCCTCGTTCCTCTTTCACGCACAATTTCTCTCTCCTCGTTCAAGTTCATCGTAACTTAGAAAATGGAAAATCCCAACAAATTTGAAAGATTTTAGAGAGAGAAGCAATACTATGGCAGTAGAAGAGCTTGAGAAATCAATGGCAGCAACTGAGATTGAAGACCAGAGAAAAGACGATGATGATTTGGAGGAAGGCGAGATTATCTCTTTTTATCTTTGTTTTTCAATTTTATTAATTTGATTGTGAATTTATTGAATTTGGTTGTTTGAATCTTTTTGTGATGTGGGCGATTGAATTAGGGTTTTGATTTCGTTTTCTTGGAGAAATGTTATGTGGGTGACTAAGGTTTTCTTGTGTGATTTTGTTTAGTTTGATTTCTTGTGTTAGTTTCTTGATTAGCGTAGCTAATTGTTGATCATTATTCTTGGATTAAGGAAACATGAGTGTTGAATTTGTGAATCAGGTTGATGGTTTCTGTGAACAACTTGATTTTTCGAGGCATTTGGTAGGATTAGTGAGGGTTGCTTGTGATATTTATGGGTTTAATAGTCTAATAGCGTCAACTTTTTAACTGTCATTTGGTATATTGTTGATGATAATATTTAGGGGAAGAGAAGGATTTAGCTCTTCCATACAAATTGGAGCATTCTTTTCGGATATTGGAAGAACCATTTGTACTGTTACCGGAATACAAGGTTATTGAATCTGCTTGCAAGAACAATATCATAGGTCTACTGGATAAGTGACACTAGTTAAGAAATTATTCATTGAATTTTGGCTGTTGATGAATATTACATTTCTGATATTGAGAAATCTGAACTATAGTTTGAAATTTTTACTTAGTATGAAAATAAGAGTTAGCAACAATTTGAACATGTTGTAGACTTTAAAGTTTTATTCTTTCTAATTATATGATTAAGATACATGTCGTAGGGGCAGATTTTCACCGTTTCAAGAATAAAATTTAGCCTAAATGGGAGGATCCAATCTGTGCTAATGGAGGCAAGTGGACAAACAACCTCAGACCTATATGAACTTATGTGGCGAATATGTGAGTCGACTTCCTATAACTCCATTGTGTTATTATTGAAATTTTTGAATGAATGTGGATGATACTCTGCTTATTACCAGAATATCATATGCTTCATTCACGGATTATGTCTTTAAAATAAGTGATCAAGCTTCTTTTTCAGGAAACTGGTGCTAATCATTGTTCACTTGATTGTAGACGGGTCCTCTAGTAGCATATTACAAGCTACCTCTAAATCGAGTGATGGTGGTAATTTATTCTCAATCATTGCGAACTTTATTAATTATTTTTATATTTTCCCCTAGCTCAACATGATCTTTTTGAACAGGCCATTGCTAATCATGTGGCGTACTTTGGCTTCAACACAATGGTGGTCATGGCAGTCACAATGGGTATGCTCTCAAACTTTAGGGTTTCACTTGTAGCTGCTTCCTTTTTCTTTCAGAGTATCAGAACAATCATGATGTATCTTCATTTATGCATATTAAATTCAGGTATCTCATGTTCAGTTGTCAATCTTGTCATGTCAATTTGACTCACTAATTTAATCAAAATTTCACTTAATCAGTATCAAATTATCATTGCCTTTAGTCCATTCTAATATCTTGGGTTAACATTTACATACTTTGCCAATGCAACTTCTAGCTGCAATGATTAGGCCAATTTTTCCACTTCTGCCTGCGCCAAGATTGTTAGGGGACTTTATTAGTAATCACCCCCCCTAATGATCCAAATAGGAAAAGAAAAAAAAGGCTTACTTGAAAGTTTACCATGAGGTTTGCTTTTGATGCTTTAATTTTAAACGAGACCTTAATTTATGGGAGTAAAAAAAGAAGAAAAAAAGTTCATTAAAAAATGAAAAGAAATCTTTGCTAGTACAAGCATACTCTGTAATTTGAAAATGTGTTAGCTGAGCTGTTTATAGGGCAAGGGAATTTCCATGTTTTATTCTCTGGTTTTTGTTTCTCAGTTTGTTGTTCCTTCAGAGTTTAGTTCTTAGGTACTACATAAAGAGGAATAAATCATAATATAGCACTATATGTAGAGTATTTGAGGACCTTGGTTTCATTCACCTTATTTATGGCTAAATTGGTCCTTGAACCTTTTAACGTGCTCACTTAGTTTTACTTTAGTTTCTTGGAAGTAACAATGTTGAGTAACAAATCCGCAATTGTGTGTTGTGTTACACTTAAAAAGTTAAGACTAAATGTTTGCTCATTTGACAAATGAACAACTAACTATTTGCTCATTTTCTAAATGAGTAAAAAAAATTGATTGCTCATTTCCCAAATGATCAAAAAAAATGTTTGCTTATTTTACAAATGAGTAACTTATTATTTGCTTATTTGACAAATGAGCAAACTAATGGTTTTGTTGATTTAATGAATATTAAAGAAATGTTTGCTCATTTGACAAATGAGCAACTAAGTTTTTGCTCATTTGTTAAATTAGCAACTAGTTATCTGCTCATTTGCTAAATGAGCAAAAAATCGATTGCTTATTTCCAAATGATCAAAGAAATGTTTGTTTATTTTACAAATGAATAACTAATTATTTGCTTATTTGACAAATGAGCAAACTAATGGTTGCTCATTTCACAAATGAGCAAATAAATGAGCAAACTAATGGTTGCTCATTTCACAAATAAGTAAACTACACTCAATTAGCATGTAGAGTAATGTGAAAATGTAGAGTTTGAAAATTTTGAGTAGTTAGTGAAATCTATTTCTTTTGGCTATTGGCAAAACAATACAAAAGACACCCACTATTACAGGTTATAAAATTGCAAAACAATTCTTTGCTCATTTATCAAATGAGCAAACTATTTTTTGCTCATTTGTCAAATTAAATGAGCAATTAATTTTTGCTCCTTTGTCAAATGAGCAAACTATTTAATGCTAATTTGTCAAATGAGAAAACGATTCTTGCTCATTTTGTCAAATTAATGCTCATTTGTGAGTGTGTTTGAATGTTTTAAATACGTTAGCCTACTAGCTCACGGGTAGAGCATTGTGCAAATGCACAAAAGATGTGGGTTTGAATCTCACGTAGGTTCATTTATGTAATGTGGAGACACAAGTTTGTATGTATGAGAGTTTACTTGTAACAAAGTTTATATACCATTTTTTTTGCTCATATAATTTAGTACGAATTTGATTTTTTTTTTTTTTTTCAAATTAGTTTTGTTTATAGAGATAACCTATATGTAGGAATTGAACCTACATCCCCTATGCATTTGCATAGTGCTCTACCAATTGAGCTAATAGGTTCACATATGACATGTTGCCCTTTGCGATATTGGATCAGCTCCAGACTTTGGAGAGTAGACAAAATATCCTCTGCTTTGATGTCTGTCATGTGTCATGTCACTGAGCTCCTGCAAAACAATAAGCCACATATTCATCACAATCGAGCAAGAAACAGAAGTGCAAAAGTTTTTGTAAAAAACACTAAAAAATAGACACAGGGATCCTCAGAAGTTTCAAGTCTACAAACCAATGAGATAGAAGACACAGGGTTGCAGTATAATAATTTTTTTGTTCTTGTCATAAGATTAGATTGTTCAAGAATTAATCAAACACTGATAGTGCGTGCGTAAAAGTTCTTACTGTGCAAGTGGCTTTGATAATTGCATCTGTTTCATATTTGGAAGGCTTTTCCTGTCTAGACTCGAAAATACCAAGCATCACATCCATGAAGTCCAGCTTTCTCTGTGCCTCATTAGAGCTTCTGTTTTTTATGTTCATCTAACCACCTTTGAGCTATATGACCAATCTCTTTTGCTACTTCTTCATTTTTTTTCTCGTACCCTCTGATATCAAACCACCTCAAGAAGGGCAGTGCATCAGTAGGGACGAATACACCTGCCAATTCAAAGAAATCCCTGAATGCCTTTACACACCTATTATATTCCTCCCCTTGGTAGAATTCTTCAATGACTTGACTGAAATTAATTTTACAATAGTGTTCATGCTTATATTAGTAGACCATTGTTTCATGTCAGTTAATTTAGACCTAGCAACTGTTATACTCTTCATCGCCGATCTTACCTCAGATATCCTAACATGTTTAAAGATCTCTACCTGGTGGGCAGACAGTAGCTCGATAGTGGTAATCTTACGCATCTCACGCCAGTATTGGCCATATTGGCTGAAGCCCAACATGGCACCATTGTAAGCCATATGTTCTATAAAGATTTTTTGAGGACGATTTAAGAATGATTTGTCATTGGTGCTGCCTAAGCACTCTTTCGCCATTTCTGCTGTACTCACAACCAAAGCTTGGTGGATACCAAGCTTGATCATAAAGATTTGACCATATTTATCCGCTGATTTTCCCAAGGTTATGTGAGGAAGCTCTCCTAGAAGATGTAGATGGCCAATAACAGGCCAAGAACCACAAGGCTGGGGAGGTTTCGCCTTGGTATCGGTTCTCTTTTCTTGTTGAAACAGACAGTAGAGGTAGTAGAGAAATAGAAATAAGGCAAGAAAGCTTAGCTTGTAGCTTCAGCAGACAGCTGAAATAGTAGTTGAAATTTAAATTCCATTTTGTTGTACAACTTTTTTGTGGTGGTGAACTGAGACTTGTGTTTTTGAAGTTTTTCTTACAGACTTCAGCAAGATATTTCTGTGATGGGATTATTCGTATGATATGATTAAAATTACTAGAATAGTCTATGTTTAGATACTGAAGAAACTTATTTAAAAATGTGAGTGCTAACTCTATTAAGTTTGTTTTCTTTAAAAAACTAAATTATTGGTGTTGGACTTTTGTTTCCACTTGTTTTTTGTTTTTTTGTTTTTTTTGACTAAAAAAGTATCCTAAACTATAATGTATTTGCCTCATTCTAAATCTCAACCTTAGTTTTGTAGGAATATGACGTATGGGATGACAATTTTGAGCAAAATGCTATGTGAACAAGCCAGGAAAAGCCTCAAAAATCGCCTGACCTTGCGGCTTGGTGCTTTGCAGAGGTGAACATGCATTGAATTTATCTATTAGGCTTGTGAAATTAACCCATGAGATTATATATCTTGTGCATCCTCCATAATTTTTCTTATTATTTCAATTTTATCTTATTTAAGTTAGTTGTATTGTAAAATATATTTGGATGCCAACAATTGTGATCTGTTGCTGGCCGGGGGTATTATATATGCTTGGTTGCGTTTGGTGATGTGGAGTTCACTGTTGGTGTTAGGAGTGTGATTATAATTATGATAATGAGATAGTTATGTTGATTATATATGTCGTCTATGATATTGATTGAGATTATGATTATGATATTAATTATGATTATGAGATAGTTATGATATTGATTATACTTATGCTTATGATGATGATTATGATTATTAGATTGTTATGTTGATGAATATGCTTATGTTGATGATTGAGAAAATGTTGGTAATTTGATAATGATTTAATTGATGGCTACAAGATTGTTACGTTAAATGTTATGATAATGTTGGTGATTTGAGAATGATTTACTTGATGGCTATAAGATTGTTGTGTTAATGATTATGATAATGTTGGTGATTCGAGAATGATTTACTTGATGGCTATAAGATTGTTGTGTTAATGATTATGATAATGTTGGTGATTTGAGAATGATTTACTTGATGGCTATAAGATTGTTGTGTTAATGATTATGATAGTGTTGGTGATTTGAGAATGATTTACTTGATTGCTATAAGATTGTTGTGTCAATGATTATGATAATGTTGGTGTTTGAGAATGATTTACTTGATGGCTATAAGATTGTTGTATTAATGATTATTATAATTTTGGTAATTTGTCCTTGATGTACTTGATGGCTATAAGATTGTTATGCTAATGGTTATGATAATTGTTTCGGGGTTTTTTGATGTCCCGCGGGAGAGTTACAATTCCGGGACTGGATCCATGCGCCTGTACCTGCAATATAACGGAAACTCCGGTTGGTGGGAACTCTGCTTCTGACGATCAAGTTAGAACGTGTTTAAGGAGTAAAAGGTGCGGAAAGTAAAAGTGATCTGGTTCCTCTAAGGGGATGAGTGATCGAGGTGTGCAATTAATGCTAAGTCTGGTCTAGCAAGTAGTATGCACGAGGGTTTAGCTTCTCTTGGTGAGATGATTAATTATATTAGAATCCGTTTAATAAAGGCTAATTATTGTATTTATAGCCTTGAAGTACGTACCAAATACTAGGTTAAATGGTAAACCTAGGACTGATTGGGCTTGCCTCGGGATTCGGGCCCAGTTGGCCGTTTTTTCGGGTTGGTAGATAGTGGGCCACGTGGCGTGACGCGATTGGTCCATGCCGGACCTCCTGGAGCATGACACGTGGCAACCCTTAAGTGGTCCACGTGGCAGGGAAAAATCCCCTAAACATTTGCCCCTCACAGGGGTCACGTGACTTGTCACGTGATGCCTGTGACAGGTGTCGACTCGTAACAAGGCCGTCGCCTGGGACAGGTGTCGACTTGTGGTAGGCCGTCTGTTTTTTCCCGCCTATTTTTGAATTTAGGGTGTGACATTTCAAATTCTCGAATAACCCTATATAAGGGCATGTTGACCAAGTCTTTTGTTCACATTTTGTGAACTTTGCAAGAGAACTCAGAACCTCTGAACTTAAGCTCTGAAATTTCTGGACGACAATTATTCATCCGACTGTTTGCACTAGCCGACTGTTTGTGGAGACCGGCTACTTTAGACTTCCATCTCCTTTCTCAAAGAACTTCCAATCTTCAGGTAACCGTTTGCTCTTGCACTTTTTCATTTCTTTGCATTTTTCTTTTGAAGATATGGTATCCCAAAAGCCCCCGGTACGACCTAGGTTAGTGATTAGTCGGTCACCGGGAACGGCTGAATCTAGGACTAGGAGTGCCGCCTGCCCCTTTTTGGACCAATCTCTGCCCTGTGCTCCAAGTCCGACTCTCTGTGTCTGTGCAGGACACTATGGCCAGAACAAAGAGGACCGCTAGATATACAAATTCAGATGGCTCCTCATATTATGTTCAAATGAGCGAGCTCTCTGACCAGCCGCCTGGTCCCCCAAGCACTCCGACTGATTCAATTTTGGGAGAATCTGAGGAGGTTTAGGGGGCCACTCATATGCTTGTTGATATGTCAGGACTAGAGCCGATCCTTTCTGAGAAAGAGGAGTCGACCTCTTTTGAGAGCTCAAGTGACTCTGAGTCCAGCTCATCCATCCGACATTCCCCGGATTCAGAAGAAAGGCATTCTCGTCTTCATGAGGCGAGGGCTTCTCATGCTATCGAAAAGGGGGACGGCTGGCAGAGCCGTCTGCTTCTCATAGGGAGTTGAGCACCCCCTACTATTGCCATGTCCCTAAAGGCAGGATTAAAGCCATGTCCGAGAGACTAGGGACATTTTAGGCGGACCATGTGATGGGTCCTGATTATTTTCTAACAGTGTCGGATGTTGAAGATACAGTAGTCTGTCCTGATTCCCCTTGCATCTGGCTGTTCAACAAATCCTGGATGGGTACCAGGTGGGGCTGTGGCAGTTGGCCCCAAACTCATGGTCCAACATTCTGGTCTTTGTGGCCGGCTGTGAAATGTATGGGGTTGAACCAAATTTCGCAGCGTTCGCCCAAATGAACTATCCGAGTCGGACCCCAAAAGCAAGCGGTACCGACTGGTACCAGATTTCTAGCCATAAGGGCTACTTGATGACAAGAGGGAAGGAGAACAAGTGGAAGGACTGGAGGAATACCTTCTTCATTGTTTCCAGCCCCAACAAACTTCTCAACAAGAGGTACAATAGATGGAACAGGGATCCACCTCTCCTCGCAGGCGGCTCTGGACTTCCGCCTGTTCCTCGTAAAGCCAAGGAGGAGATCCTTGATCAAGGTCTCTTCAAAGTAGAGATCAGGGCCAACTCTGCTACATGGGTACGAGAGTTAATCCCCCTAAACTGCATACCCAAATACAATTGGTTGTATGATGAGTATTTCCTGGCCGCCTGTGGCCTAAGTGAACGGACCACTAGAGGTAGTCGGCTCTTTTTATGTTCTTACATTTTTTGTTTTGCTTAAATTTTTACTAACTCTGTGATGCATTTTGTAGGTGAATCCATGAACAAAATCTCTGCTTCTAAGAAGGCGGCCGCCCTTCTTCGCGCGGCTATTATTGGCCAGAAGCGGCCCATTACCGACTCTCCCTCAAAGGAGAAGTCCAAGGTGAGCTTTCCACACTTCTAAAAATTCTTTGTGTTCCCCCCCCCTTTTTTTTTTCCATACTAACAACCTTTTCTTGTCGCAGGATGGTGCACCCAGATCTTCTCCCTCCCAACAACCGAACCCCAAGGTTCGGAAACAGACGGCTGGGAGTACGCCTGGTTCAACCAGGAAACATCTGACTGAAAAGAAGGCGCGGACCCCTCAAAGTGGGTCAAAACAAACAACCGTCCTTAGGAACACTCGGCCTCTAAGAGGTATAATTGGTTTAAATTTGCAATATTTCTTAGAATAGGCGGCCTGTTGCTTTCCCCTTGTCTAATTTTCCATGTTTTCTATTGTAGGCGGCCATCAAGAGCCGGACTTGGTCCAGATGGCTAAGTCTATGGTCAAGGCTGTTCCCTCAGATGACAGGGAATCAGTCAGGGGAGTCGGCACCCTTGACTCCGACTCTATCATGGGTCTACTCTCTGAGGTAAACTTGATGAATTTTCTTCGACATTGGGCAACATTGGCATTTAAGTGCCGCCTATTTCTTGGAAAATTTTGACGCCTGTTTTGTTGATACGCAGTCCTTGCTTCGTGTTCATGGTCTCCGCCGACCCATCAACGAAAAGAACAAGGAGGTAAAGGCTGCAAAGGCCATGGTCGCCTCTGATTGTGACCGGGCAATGTTTCAGATTGCCTAAAATGAGATTTTGACAACTGACATTCTGTATTATTAGGCGACTGCCACGTTACAGGTCAAAACCGAATTGGAGGCGGCCAAGAAGAAAACTTGGAGCTGGAGAAGGCGGTTAAGGACCTTCAAAACCCAAGTTGCAGCCGCTAAAGCATGCAAATCATGCGGTCGAAGAGCTTAAAAAGTCGATCTAGAAGCTCAAGGAGCGCCTGTCAACCAGGAGGCGGCCTTGACCAAGCAACTCAGCGCTAAGGCTGAGTCCGAAAAGATGGCCCTGGCCAGGATATGATGGAGGACTCTTCGGCCATCATGAAGATGACCTGGACTGCCCTCTTCCCAGATTCAGACTATGAGAAATGGGAGTCCAAATTCGCCGCCTACATTGAAGAATATAACATCAAGATTATGAAGCAGGCGAACGATGAGGATGAAGCGAAGGATGAGGCGGCCGACTCCTCTTCTGAAGGTGGGGATGAAGATGAAGAGGAGGAGGAGGACGTCAACAAGGGGGAGACTGAGAAAAAGGAGGCGGACGCCAACCAAGAACAAGCGCCGGCTAATGAGCCAAGAGAGTGTGCTTGAGGAGCAGGCGCCCATTGCCGAAACTGATCAGGCGACTGCCGTTACTAAAACCCCTCTCTCCAATGCTTAAGCTGCTTATTTTTAAACTCTTCTTCGGCCAGCGTGCCATCTTCTTTTTTTGTATCTCTTTACCCGACCAAGGGGTCGGGGTCTATGAATATTTTTGCTGGCCTCCTTGGCCGGCTGTTTATGAATGAATTTTGGCGACATTTTAGTCATCTTGTCCAGCAATCTTAATTTTGTTATTTCCCTTTGCCAAGTGTAGAATGTCTTTAATAGCCGCTTATTTATCATGCCGACTGTTCTTGCTTGTTGTCATCCTTTTTGCATCAAAATTTTCCATTTGAATGTTTTTGAATGTTTGAATGTTGCTAAGTATAGAAGACGTCTTAGTGGGTGTCGCAACCGACTGACTGATATTGTTGCCCCTGGCCGACTGATTGTTTCTTTATCAGTCAGTCGGTCATGAGTTTAGTCGGCTTCCGTTGAAAAATTGGAATAGCAGACTTTCCAGACTTGGATCATTTTAGGAACATTACCCAGGTCGCCTATTGGTTGCGCTTGGGCACAGGCGGCCGTCTTGAGGGTTTTAAGTAATGGTTGTAGTAGGCGTAGTTGAGGGGCTAAGTACCAAGATCTTAGCAGGGTTCCCTAAGCCTTGGGCCATTGTGGGTAGCCGCCTAGTTGAGGAACAGTTGTCCTATTTCATTAGACCTGGCGTTGGTCTTATAAGGGCGCTACCTAGGTGGTTAGGTGCCTATTATTATTTTAATTGTTTTCCAAGCTTGATGGAAACAGGCCGTCTGTAAACAGGACACCTGATTTGATGGGATCCGCCTGTATTTGCTACAGACGTTCCCTTATTAGGTCTAGAGGGAACAGTAGTGAACGACCGCCTATTTTTAAGAACAGGTGGTCCTTTCTTTTAGTTCCATTCTAGGGAGGGCGACTGGTTATCCAGTCACCACATCTTTTGTTTGAGTAGTAAGAGGGTCAAGCAGCGGAGGCCGCTTGACTTCCTTTATTCTCCAAGTTTCGTTGGCTATTAACCCAAATTATGCCAAAATGTTTCGGCAGTTTTACACGGCGTTGATGTTTGGTAGAGACAGGCCGCTTGTTCATGTGGACGAGGCGCCTGGTCAGTACAACTGCGCCTGTATTAGTGGACCTAATTGGAATAGTGGCCAAGTACCTTTGTTTGCCAAAAAACAAGTGTCCTTATTCCTTTTAGGTTCCAAACTAGACTGTGTGACTATGAGTCTCCCTTGAGGCTACTCAGTCTCCGCCACTGATTTGAGTAGTAGAGTTACCAGGCGGCGTAGACTAGCTGGTCCCCTTGATTCGCCAAGTTTTGCTTGGCTATTAACTCAAAAGGTAACGTCTGCATTTATCCCAAGTAATGACAGGCGGTCATCTGACTTAGATGTGAGCTGACCACCACAAGTTCGGTTAGTAGTAGGGTTATCTTTGTCTCAGTTGTAAACGAGTACGGGGTTCTCCTTGAGGAAAGTCGTTTGGGTCCATTTGTTTGCAGTTTATAGAGCATTATTCCACCCAAAAGGGAGTTGCTCTCTGCGACGAATCTCATCTGGAGGGATGCCGCCGGACGCCTGCTGTATTGTTGGGACAAGTCGTATTAGTTTAATTTTTAGATAAGATCAGTCGGCCTAACGCCTGGGCTGATCATCCGACCATAGGCCTTGTTTAGTTCATGGTGAACGTAGATGCTAAGTTACCTTACTTTGGTATAGGAGAGTAGCCGACTATATGTTCAGACGACTTGCCCCTCTAATGAAAGAGTAAAATACATATTGGAGAGTAGCCGACTGTAAATGTACAGGCGGCATGCCCCTCTGATAAAAGGTCAAAGTATTGAAATAATTGCAAGTTTTATTAATAACCCTTGTACAATTACATCATTCAGAAGTAATACTTCTTCAAATTGTCTACATTCCATGTTCTAGGTAGGAGCCGACCGTCTGGTGTTTCTAGGCGATAGGTGCCATCTCTAACCTCCTCATAGATTCGGTAGGGTCCTTCCCAGTTTGGAGTTAGCTTTCCCAACTCATTAGCCCTATCGACTGCTTCCATTTTCCGTAGTACAAAGTCTCCCACTTTCAGTGGACTCTTGTGTACTCTTTTGTTATAAGCTCTGGTCATTCTCACACAGTAGATCTCATGGCGTAGGGCTGTGTTGCCCCTACGCTCAGGGAGTGAGTCCAATGCTAGGCGCATGGATTCCCAATTGGCCGCCTTGCCATACAACATTACACGAAGAGTCGGCTCATAATGCTCAATGGGTAGAACAACTTTTGCCCCATAGGTCAGGAGGAATGGGGTTTCCCCAGTCACCCTTTTTAGTCGTCCTTATGGCCCAGAGAACATGTGGTAGTTCGTTTGCCCATAGGCCGCCTGCTTTTTCAATATTTTTCTTGATACCGTCAGAAATAATCTTGTAGAACGCTTCTACCTGGCCGTTTGCTTGGGGTCGACCAATTGATGCAAAGTTGTATGCATCTCCTTGATCCCCCAGCTAGTTCTTGAGAACAGGCGTTTTGAACTGAGGACCATTATCAAACAACATTGACATAGGCACCCCAAATCGTGTAATGACGTTCCTCCAAATGAATGAGATAACGTCCTTGGTCTTGATACCTTTGACATCCTCGGCCACTACCCATTTGGTAAAGTAGTCGACTGCTACAAGGATGTATCTCCGGCCGCCTGTTGCGGGTGTATACGGACCCAAGACGTCCATGCCCAACTTGGCAAATGGTAAGGGGCTATGTATGGCCGTTAGATCAATGGCTGGACGATGGATTAGCTTGCCAAACCTTTGACACTTGTCGCATTTTTTCACCATCTCCATAGCGTCTGCTTTCAGGGTTGGCCATAAATATCCCTGTCGCCTTGTTCTACGAGCTAGGGACCTGCCGCCTACATGGGCGGTGCAGTATCCCGAGAGCAAGTCTTCTAAGATCTCTTGCCCCTTTTCTGGGGTCACATTTGAAGAGAGGTTGGAGATAGCCCTTTTTGAAGAGTTCCCCTTTATGAATTTCAAAGTTGGACGCCTGTTTTTCAGTAGGACCGCTTCTGAGTGACTTGCCGGCAGGGTGACGTCTGTTAGATATGCCCGGATGTCATCCATCCAGGTGGAGCTTCTGTCTAGGATCCCAATAGGGTCCTCCTCAATGCCAAGTTTATCCATTACCTCCTAAAAAACCGTCCTAGGTGTGTCGCAGGAAGCTGATGATGCCAGTTTAGAGAGGGCGTCCGCCTGATTATTCTCGGACCTGGGCACCTGATTTAAGTGAAATTCTTCTAGTGTCTTGGCCTCCTATTTTAGCGCTTGTACGTACTTGATCATAGCCGGATGTTTGGCTTCATAGTCACCATGATATTGGCTTACAATCAATTGTGAGTCTGAACATGCGGCTATCTTCCTTGCCCCGGCCGCCTTACACATGCGGATACCCGCCAATTGAGCTTCATATTCCGCCTTATTGTTTGAGGCTTGGAACTTAAACCGTAGTGCGTACTCGTACCTGTCCCTTTCAGGGGACTGACATATGACGCCTGCACCACAACCATTCATTGTATTGCTCCCGTCCACATAGACTTTCCAAGACTTGCTCAAAGTTCTTTGGATCAGTCGGCCTGGTTAGTTCCACTATGAAGTCAGCGAATGCTTGCCCCTTCACCGGTTTCCTTGGCTCAAAAGTGATCTCTAGACTTTGGATCTCAATGGCCTATTTGATCATTCGGCCTGACGACTCCATGGTTGTCAGTGGCCGCTTGATTGGCTGGTCGGTGTAGACCACAACAGGATGTGCCAGAAAATAGGGCTTCAATTTTTTAACTGCCATGAAGAGGGCAAGTCCAAACTTCTCAACCATAGGGTACCGTAACTCGGCGTTCTTTAGGACGTGGCTGATGAAGTAGACCGGGTGCTTGCAGCCGTCCCTTTCAGCAAGAAGGACGGCACTAAGGGCATGGTCAAAGACTGCTAAATACATGTATAGTACTTCCTTGGATAGAGGGCTGGCCAGCCTTGGCACTTGTTTTAATTTTTGGAAGGCCGCCTTTGTATCCGGCCCCCATTCAAACATGGTCTTCTTCTTGATAACTTGAAAAAAGTAAAGACACTTGTCGCCCGACCAATTGAGGAATCTCCCCAATGCCGCCAGGCAACCTGTAAGCCTTTGAACTTCTCGTACAGTGCGGGGCGACTGCATGTCTATGACTTCCTGTACCTTCTCGGGGTTAGCCTCTATCCCCCTTTGATTGATTAGAAATCCGAGGAACTTCCCAGACTCAACACCAAAAACACATATCTTGGGATTGAGCATGACCTGGTGCCGCCTGAGTGTGGTGAATGTTTCTTGGAGGTCAGCTAGGTAGTCCGTCTGGATTTTAGATTTAACAATCATATCATCTATGTACGCCTCCACATTCCTTCCAATCTGGTTGAAGAAGACCGTATTTATCATTCTTTAAAAGGTTGCAGGTGCATTCTTTAGTCCGAACGACATGACAGTATAGCAAAACAACCCCTGATCTGTGACAAATGCCGTCTTCTCTTGACCGTTCTTCCACAAGGCAATTTGATGGAAGCCTGAGTAGGCGTCCATGAAGCTCATCAAGGCATGGCCGGTTGTAGAGTCGACTAGGTGGTCGATCTTTGGGAGCGGGTAACAGTCTTTGGGACATGTCTTGTTCAAGTCTGTGTAGTCTACACACATGTGCCAGGTCCCATTCAACTTTTTGACAAGTACTACATTCGCTACCCAGTCTGGGAAGTAACACTGTCGAATGAATCCCGCGTCCAGCAATTTCTTGACCTCGGTGGATGCCGCTTGGCTTCGTTCTTCACCATGGTTCCTCTTTTTTTGCCTGACCGACTTATTTTTTGGATCCACAACCTGCTTATGTACAACCAGATCCGGGCTTATGCCTGGCATCTCATGAACTTCAAATGCAAATACATCTTTGAATTCCCTTAGCAGTTGGTGTAGTTCAGCACCAAGTTCAGCAAAAGCAATCGTCCTGACCTTAACAGTTCTCTTGACTTGTTCACTAGCCGGCTGAGGGAAAATTCATCTGACCGCTCCCCGGCCAATGATTGCTATTGTTTTTCTGTTCTTTCGGCCTCCAGATGGATGGCCTTTCTTTCCTTGCTGGCTGCTGTTGGGGCAGGCGCGACTCACTTGACTTGCTCAAGGTCTGTAGTCTCCCCACTAGGGCCGGCTGTCGCCACAATGGGTTTGATGTCAGAGAGATAACACTCCCTGGCCATCTTCT